ACGAGCTTTGCAGTTGCAGGAGGGCATTGAGTTGCCTCAAGCCGGGCCGGTGAAGATTTCTTCTTTTTGCCCTTGCTGCCAGATGATGATGCTGGCTTTTCCTCCTGCTCCTTGGCTGCTTTCTTTGCTTCTTCCTCGATGATCAACTTCCTATCTTGGGGTCCTAACATCTTCCACAGTTCTGAGTCGATCCCCTCCGGACGCTTTGAACCTTTGTAGTTACGTACAATCCGGTGACCATCCCAATGATGTCCATCTGGAATAATTTCACCTTTGGGGGTCAATTTGAGATCTGGAAATACGGGCGCTTCGGGTGCATCAGGCTCGACATCGCTGTCGGCTGGTAGAGGCGTTCCTGGCTCGTATTCATACTCAGCTTGTGGCGGATGCAAACTGGACTCAAGAGGCACAGCTTTGGGTGTCTTCGGAATGACCTGGTCCTCGAGGCGATCGGCTTTGGGTGCTTTCGAGTCAATCAGAGCTTTCAAAGGAAAGATGAAACCCTCGGATGGCAATTCCAACCTCTTTGTTCTTTGGATTGTCAGTGCACCCCAGTTGACATGATAATCTGCGGCTTCCAACTTGGCAACTAAGTATTCACCCTTCCAATCATGACCTGGTTGGATGTAATACCCAAGGAAAATTCCTTCATTTGCTGTTGGGGAGAGCTTACCTGATGTGTTATCCAACCTCTTGGGGTTATTCCAGAACAACACTTTGGCACCAAATGGAATGTGCATTGCAGGGAACTCTTCACCAAACCTGAGTTGCCATGGGGATTCACTGCCGTCAAGCTGGGGGCTTGCATTGATCGCGGTCGCATGATGCTGCATGGCCAAGGGCCACATCTTCAAAGGAAGTCCTGATTGCAACAAGTTGCTCCGGGCACCTTCCAACATCTGACGAACTTCGCGCTCAGCAAAAGACTTTGATGAATCTACATATTCAATGGAAGTTTGGTGTCTGTAACCCAAATCCTTGATGGCCCTGATCAATTCTGGGGAATTGTCAGTGTACACAACTTGAACATCATCCTTTGATCCAATGAAGTGATTCAAACCATCAACACAGCTTTGTGAGTCCTTGGATTGGCTAGGGTAGACATACCGATATTGAGTGTGCAGATCTTTCAACACCAACGCAACTTGCTCCCCCCTGAAACCCTCTTCTACGTTTTTCTTGATGATGACATGATCCCCAATGACGTGGTCACCAAACACTTCAGTTTCGATTCTCTTCTGACCACCTTTCTTTCGTGCCTGAGGTGCCATCATCCTTGCTCGTTGGCAAGTTCTGCAAAAGGGGTTCTTGGGGAAATGCGTGTACTGATGTTGGGTACTTGCAGCTTCAGCCAACAGATCCTCAGTCTTGCGGCTTCGGATGTACTCCTGCTGAGCGTCATCCTCCACCAGCTCGTCCAGTTGCTCTTCATCTTGGGCTTCGTCCCGCTTGGCTTTTGAGCTCGACCGTGAGGTCGGCATTGCAAACAACTTTTTGAGGTGCTTATCCTTTTGGAATTGATCTTTGGGATAAACCTTGCAACTATCATCCAAGATTGGGACGTGACCTTCGATCTTGAGCTGGACGACCTTGTCATCTGGACGGACTAGGATCGGTTTGCCATTGGCAGGCCATACGAAACTGTAACCCTGATCTACACATCTCGTTCCTACGGAGAGCACAGCTGGGGTATGATCAAGTACATACGGATGCACAGGATCTGGCAATGCGGACAACTTGACATCAGCAACCTCATTGGCCTCAGTCGAACCATTGGCTGTGACTAAGGAAATCGGATGCTCGGCTGCACGGCAGTTCTTGGCGCTGACGTCCCTCAACATACCCTTGGACACAAGATCGGATTCGCTACCTGAGTCGACAAGCCAACTAACACCGGCCTTTGGCGCGGCTGTGGCAATTGACGGAAAACGACCAATGTCTCTAAGAGCTTTGGGACCGCTAATGAACCTGCACTCTTTGCATGTGATGTCACGTGTATCCTCATTCCAACAACAAAACCCACAACTAGGTGCAACATCTGAATCATGAAGTTTCACAGTTTCCTGAAGCTGTCTTGCACGAACCTGAGCCTCATGTTGTTCAACCTTGGATGAAACTGGAACGTCTTCAGCTGTCTTGTACACCTTAGCGAACTCTCTTGGACGGTGCTTGACTGGGACTTGATGACCAACTGCTTTCACCTCAATCACATGTGGGGTCTTTCGGAATCTAAGACGCTTCATGCTGACACTTGACTCATCAGAGCACGAAGTTGCCTTCGGCTGTTTTCGGACGATGCATGCAAACTTCTGGATCAGGCATGGAGCGGCTGTTGAATCCTTGCTCTTCTTCTTGGGAGCGGATGAATTGGCCCTTTTGGTGTCTTTGGTGGCGGCAGCAGCTTTGTCATCATGCTTATAAAAACATTTGTCACCACGTCTGCACTTTCCCTGGGCATGATAGATACATGGGGTTTTGGCCATTTCTTCCTTGGACATTTTCTTCCCCTTATCATCTTTGTTGCCCCTTGATGGTGAACGTGTCTTGGTTCTTCTGGGTGATTGAGTTCGAGATTTGTCCTCCTTGACATGCTTAAATGGACATTTCTTCCCCTTATCACAGGTACCCTTTTGGAACTTATAGCAGATCTTGTCACCTTTGCCACCTCGTTCCTGCGATCTACCACGACTTGGGGAGCCCTTTCGGCCACCGCGACCATCGCCTTTGGCGGGTGCGGCCTTCGTGTCCTTGATCCCAGCCTTGTTCTTCTCCGCGATGCGGTTCCTGTTCTCCCTTAATCGTTCACGGTCGATCAAGTTCTTCATGGATTGGTGAAGAAAACTATAAGACTTTTCATGGGATTTCTCATGAGCACGGTCAAACATCTCAATGTCATATTTCAGCAACTGACTTGGTCGGATCTGCCTCAACAAGATGTCCCTTAACACAGCATCATCGGGGGTGACAGCCATGCCAGCTAGGGTAGCATCCCATTTGTTGATGAATCTTCGGAGATCCTGGACAGTATCGCCTACTTTGACAACACCCAAAAGATCTTCTACTCTGTAAAGGCTACCTGCTTCTTCTGATGTCTTGAAGTAGTCCTCAAACATGAGCAGAACGTACCTTCCCCTGACCTGGATGCCTTTTCGGGATTGCTGCTCTTTGAAATTCAAGATCCTAGTTGCGAGGTCCCCTCCGGCTGAGCGTGTGAGCGCTGCTGATAGCTTTGTATCCAGCGTGAGGAACTTCCCAGGATCTTGGAGTTTCTTCTCCAACTGCTCTCTGGTGCACTCTTGATCATACACCTCATTGAGCCAGAGCCATGCCTCATCCGGGCGATCTGAACAGCTTTTCACTTCATCCCTGACATGATTTTTCCAAGTCCTATACGACTCCGGAGCGGGCATGTTGTTCAGCTTGATGATTTCGGCCTCCTTAGTTTTTGGCTTATCCTTTTCTTCCCTTTGGGTTAAGGCTTTCACCAATTCAATAAGATCTGAGGGACCCATCACTTGCTGTTGCTTGGTTACGCTCTTAGGAGAGTCATTTGGGGGAGTTTTGATAGCTTCAGTGGGAGTGAAAAACCCTGACTGCATTGGCAATTGGGGCTGGTCGTTGCCGACAGCCGGCTTTTGCTTGGGACTGCCACCTTTGAGCAGCTCATCCAACTTCGCCTTTGCTTCTTGTGCCAACACTGCAGGCGTTTTCAACTCATGAATCGGCTCATCACTGCCTTTGGCAGCCTGTGCATCGGATGCTTTGGGAGTGGCAATATTGAAGTGGGGCACGCTAGTGGTAGCGGCCGGCTCGGCGTTCTGGACGGATGCTTTCGGAACGGAGGCATGCTGCGCTTTGGCAACATGCTTTAACTGCTCCTGAAGGTCATCGATTTGGTCCTGAAGGCTAAGGTTCTGAGCCGCTGCCTCGTTGATCTTTTCGGCCATCTCCTTCTTGTAGTTCTCGAACTCGGTCCTCAAACTGATGAGCCTGGCCTGATCAATTGCAGCCTGATCTTCATATTGCTTCTTTGTGGCAGCTATGGCATTCTTAGCATGTTCAACTGTCTGTGCATAGGAAGCTTCGAATTCACTAGTGATACGTTGCCTTTCTTCTGCAATTTTCTGATCATGCTTTGTGTTTGCCTCTGCCTTGAAATCCTCTACTCTTTTGTCATGCGATGCCTGAGCCTGATTTAACCTGACCTCTAACTCGTCGCCTCGTTTCCTTTCCTCGTTGACGGCACTGATGGCCTTACCTTCAACCTCCTGCAACCTTTGCTCATACTCCTGCTCTTGCATTACGAGCCTACTTGACCATTCGTTTCGAATTGAGTCAACTACTCCATGCATTATCTGAAGGTGCCTCTGTTCAGCTTCCCTCATGACTTGCAGGGTGTTCCCACTGGTGATTTGGGAAAGGTTGTTTTGTATGAAGGTGAAGTACGCTACAACGGGTTGGAACATTGTTTTGTCATCCGTCGGCTCGGGATTGCCCCCGGCCACATTGGGCACAGCGACAGCCGATGGACCTGACCCTGGAACGGCGAGAGATAGGTCAGTTGGGGTCCCCATAGCAAAGTAGTGAGACTACGGCTGATAACCTGTATTTTACAAGGTCAGCCACCAATATGTTACAACACTAATGGGGACAAGTAACCGCTAAGCTGCTGGCACTGTTTTGAACCAACGCTACAGAGTAGTACGATGATATGTACACTACATGGTTTTACTGCAGGAGTTTTTACACATCCAACCCGATGTGAACTGATTGGTGATGTCAAGCCATCTGAAAAAAACATATTAGTCATTTGGGAATATCACCATATATCACCCCCAATTATGGTTGAACATCAAAAAACAAACGCCCAACTACTTCAACTTGTTAAATATTACACCCAAATGCCATAAATGGCCATAAACCATCCCTAATTCCATTATTGTAGGTCGTAAATATATCGTCCCAAATGCTAGGTTCATGGTTTGCCACACATGCCCCTCCTGGAAGTTGTGATGGACCTCGGTCAGTTGGATATGTCGATCCTGCAATGCATCCCGCAGCGAAGTCAAATGCTTCTCTTGCCGCAGATCCTCAGCGGTGTGGTTTGGGGTTGTGGGTAGTGACTATGGTCACAACCCACCTCTGAAGAGGATTTCTTGCTTATTAAATCCCATATTTGGGTGGGTACTTCCTGATTTCATTCCAAATTGGAAGGATCATCGACAGGAACTCCCCCCTAGCGGTATAAACCAGGAACCTGAGAAAATGCCCATGGACATATTTTGAAATAACTAAGATGAAAACCCTATGTTGATTGAAAAAAAGAATCTCCATTGTTCAAAGTTAAAGGTTTATTCCATGTTGTTGTTTGGTTGAATATGCATAATTGAACCATCATGATTCTAACAACATTTGTGTGCTGATTGGCTAAAGTCACTTTATTTTGCATATATAAATACATTGTAAATGTTGCGAACCATCAAGTTTTTCATCTGCAATTCTTCAATCTGGAAAAACACATACGTATATATATATATATATATTTGTATGTATATTATGTAAATACATATATATATATATATATATGTATATGTTTGCTTACCCTTCTTCAATATGCATCAAGTTTCCTTCTGAAATCCGAGGTTAGTGAATTGAAATCACCTACTATTTGCACGTATCTTGCCTGAATTCTCACCCCTTTTGCTCTTATTCCCTACAATAATTTAACGCAGCTCGTAGCTATGGCAGCTATGATCTATGATGCTCTGGAAGCCATGGCCCATTTAGTTCGATGATTTACCTACTAATACTAAAATTATGATGACTTTCCAATTCACAAACTGCAAACTAGTAACTAGAGGGTACTATCATTGTGAAAATCAGACTTGAGAGGACTACTGGTTGGTGGCTTCAACCCCACTGAAAAATATTAGTCAGCTGTGTTTTTGTTATTCCCAAGATATGGAAAATAACAAATGTTCCAAACCACCAACCAGATGGGATTGTTTTCAGTTCATTAAAGATGGTACTAGATGGTACTAATGTCAACCCCGGATTTACAAACCATGGTTTATTAGTGGGGTACTCCCCAAATAGTGGTAGTCGTTGGTAATCTAATACTTAAGTGGCACCCCCAATTCAACAGCTGTTTGGGTTTTGTAAACAATCCAGGGTTGACATTATCTTTGCCAGTCTTAGATACCTTAGATACCCCTGTCAAAAATCTAACTTTTATCTGGTCGGTAGATACTGTATTCCTATTGAAATCGCAAGAGATTTTGCAGGATTCAACTAGCCATCCAGTTTGCTGATCCAGCGATGTTCCACCCATCATAGATCATGTTTACATCATGTATGGTGATTTTGGGGAAGGTGGATCCTATTGTTTTAACATGGTTTTAACCACATGAACAGTGTTCAAAATCCCTCTGTCATTCCACTTAATCCTGGTTTGTTAGTAGGGATTCACCGTTCTTGGATTATTACACTCCCCCCCAAAAAAAATGGTAGCATAATCCACCAACTAATCATCAACCAACCATCAGTTATCAGTTTTATTGACTAATATTCCCATATTTTCATGATTAAAATCCCATTTAAATTACTATAATCATCAACCAACCAGTGGTTTAGCAGCCACTGCTCACATGTTTTTCGTTCAAACTCCCGCCCTTCGGAGAAAGGGCACCGAGTCAGTACTGCCCTGCATGGCTTGCTGAAAAGCTTCCACCGTAGACCTGGTTTCGCGAAAATCAACGAAGTAATTGGGAGAATGGTACGAACCCTGCAGTTATGGCCATTTATTAGTTATAACTTGTTATAAATGAGATTATACATTCCATAAATGGGGCTATAAGTATACTTATAACCGGTGAAAGGCAATAACCCTGGAAGCTTAGTGTATCTTAGTATTATGCTTGAAAAAATGTATTATCTGTAGTGTCTCAGAATTTTGGATATCTACATACTATGATTTTCATGGATCTGGGTAAATTATAATATTTCACTAACCTGAATTAAGGCCTTTTCTTTCCGCTTCCCAAGAGGAATTAAGGCCATTTGGGGATGATTTCCCTTACTAACCATTATTCCCAGTGAGGGAGGACAGTGAGGTCGTTATAATTTACCCAGGTGGATCTAAATAAACGGATGGTTTTCATGGATCCAGTTTGGGGAATCTTTCTGAACCCGTGAGAATTGTTCGAAAAGTGGACTTTCAGGAGCAATGGCTGTGCTGGGGTTGGGGTTTTTCGGTAGCCATTGAAACCAAGGTCCAAGGTGAGGAGAATATCTGGTTGGTGGTTGACCTACCCCTCTGAAAAATATGAAAGTCAATTGGGATGATGACATTCCCAATATCTAGAATCCAAATGTTCCAAACCACCAACCAGAATATGTTTCAACCTCTTGGTGTGATGTTTGATGGTTCTTTCCTGCGTGCTACCATACATCGACGATCGCTTTCGGATAACTGTGTCGTCCTTTTTTTTGATAGAAACTTATTAGAAGTGTGTGTTCATCATCTACCTCCGCACAAAAATAAGGTACACTCTGGTAAACTAACATAGCTATGGAAAATTACAGTACATCTTTTAGTGGGGAATTCAACTATTTCTGTGGCAATGTTCAATAGCTACGTTAAATTGCCAGAGGGTACAACATCTTACATTGTAACATGACATGACTCTACTGCAGAGTCTAACAACATGAAACGGTGCGCCTGGCCCAGCTGCATCCGGCTACACTTGGAATCATCCCGTGACTGGTCACAACGGTTTGTATGTAGCCATATCTATAAGCTAGTTATGTACATATATATATATATATTATATATTATGTATACTATGTGTATATATATATAATTATATATGTATATAATGTATATGGGTATGAGCCAAAAATTGGGTAGCCCACAAAATTAATTGCTAATACTATAAAAGAAAACATATCCTAAAATCAGTGGTCCCATAGAGCTGAAAAAAGCATGACACATCCCATATAATTATGGGATATCACCAGGGTTAGAGAAACACTTTCCTGGTTGGTGGTTTCAACCCCTCTGAAAAATATTAGTCAATTGGGACTATTATTCCCAATATATGGAAACATGTTCCAAACCACCAACCAGTTTTGGATTGGGGATAATCGTCAGGGGAGTCAAGCGACATCAAGGTGTGTCCTTCATGTTCCTTCCGTGCGTGATCGCCAAACTTGTTACCTCAGAACGGCAGCATCCAATCCCAGTATCCCACTGATATTAACATCCCCATTGCATGGTCCTAAATAGGTGTAAACCCCCTACTAAACCATACTTTCTGGAGGTGTTTAAAAAAATAGGGGGAAGAGATTACCTGCAAATCAAATGTGTATACCAGCCCCAAGTCAAGAGACCTGGAAATGTGAGGCAAATATCATCTACAGTAACATCCTGGAAACACTGTTCTATATTTAATTCTGGGTTGCTAGAGAGGACAGTTCGCAAACAACATTGGACTTAACAAATCAAGGACACATAACAGAGGATTTGAATGGATTTGACCAAGACATATTTGATGCTGCAGGTCAGTTCACAGAACACATCGCAGGGTGGGATCTATCAACAAGACACGCCTATGAACACCAGGATATAATATATGATGAATTGATTTCTGACATGCCGGAAATCAATGTGACAGATTATATCAGGCATGCATCTTAGAAATTTCTCGCTTAAAACAAGCTAAGGGACATGACTGGGACGATGACTCCATATAAATCATAGCTTATAGTATAACAACTTTAATGTGGGGACCCCAAGATAGGCAAGTCAGTTTATACCTCCAATAATCATCATAAGTCCAAGAACTACGGTTTAAAATCTATGATACTCATAACTTTGGTTAAAAGGTGTTTATAAACATACCTAGGCCCTGCTTAAATGCCCAAACAAAATGCAAAAGTACCAGTTCATGATGGGGGAAAATTAAAACTGAATTCTTTGGGTACTAACGGCGAGGCTAGGTACAATAAATCCTTGGCATTTAACATTCTACACGTATATTCCCAAGGAGAGTATGATCCCTCCCAGTATGCTCAGATCTGAAACTTCTTGGGCTCCAGATCAATCCAGTTGAATGGCTACCAAGATGCACATCCTGCAGAGCATGGTCTTGCATTGCAAGCAAACACCTGGCGAAGAAATCTCGGAAATGGATGGGATGCCTATTTGGATTCCTATGGAAACACCGTTTTTATCATGGGAGTAGAACGGGTGATGTTGCCCATCAACTTTCAAACAGATCACTTCTTTTTTCTTGGAAACTATGAGTCAGCCTAAGTCTCAGTCAAGTCTGCAAGTCATCTGGATCATATTGGATATCTTATGTATGGTTGGTCATAAAACAACAGAACCCAACTATCAGTTCTTTTTTCACCCAACCGTGGCTGAACAGACCAGACTTTGACCAGACACTTTCATGGCGCTCAGAAGGGTGTTGACGGCAAAAGCCGAACTGCAGAGGTGAGTGTTCGAGGGAGAACCGTTGATGCCGAGCAAAGAAATCATTTTCCTGGGCCAAAAAGGGGATTTTTTGGAAACCGGATCGAACAGCAGGGAAAAGCATCGATGGACAAGGTTGTTACATACCCTCTGGTTATTTGAGATAGCTATGGAAAATCATCATTTTTAATACCAGTATATAAGATTATACAAGCAAACTACCTATAAATGGGTCATTTTCCATAGCTATTTTAGTTTACCAGAGGGTATTCCATGCTTGAAATATGAGCGGTGGCAATGAGTATTGTGCTCCAATCTACCAAACTTTGCTCAGAAGCAACGCCTTCTCTTGTGAAGGCTTAGATCCTAAAGCAGTTTTCAGTGTCCAGGGGTGCGGCATACTTTGGGCTGTCCATCAACCCACTAAAAGTACGAGAATCATCACTCATGACTTTGGGCAAAAAGGCCCCCATTAGCAACCATCACTGTTCAACAATGCATCGCGGCTGCGAGGGATCCCAGATCAAGATCATGGCCAGATAATCTTAGATAGATTGTTAAAATCAAAAGACTTCATGTTTAGCTGATCAGATGCTAGTCTACGATGTGGTGCCCGCTCATACTGAACCAATATGGTGTGTAACTAGGTCAAGTAGGGTTTATTGTGACTATAGCTATAACTGTGATGTGAGCTGGGTAGTTATTAAACCAACAGACATAAGTTTGAGGCACCCGTTGATGGCACAAAGAAAATCAACTTGAACTTGGTTTCTCTGTAATTAAGTGTAATTAATACGGATTAGTACGCATCTATTTGTAATACAGTACAGAAACCTTATCCATCATACAGTACTTGCTTGGCTCATTGTACCCCTGGCCAGTGGCTAAGAAACCAGCTCCTGCGTCAAGTCTCGGAGTGATGCGTGGCGTCGCAGGCAGCGCAGAAGTGGGCGTTGTCATTCTTGCAGTACACCGAAGCTGGTCGCTGCTCACAATGCTCACCTTGTGGAAGGTTGGCTGGGCCACCCTTTTGTAGATGATGTTCCAAGCTGACCTCCATTTAGTTTGGGGATGTTCGAAGCAGCCATGTTAACACTCAATGAGAACAACTAACTTTTTCCAGGTGGAAGGGTAAGACATGGTAAGATGAAAGAACAACTTCACATGGAACATATGGATGTATTGAGCTGTAACCTGTAGAATTAGAATGATCTTTCATATCCCACACAAAATAGCTAAGAAATGTGGGTTTATCTGAAAATAGGCTTGCCCAAAATCCGGTGTTTTATCATCATGCCCATTGTCAAAACAGCCATTTTGGGGGTTCAGACACCCCGGAAACCTCGTATTGCTGGTTATTTAAAATTTTATATATATTATTATATATTGGGTAGATCCTAATACCTATAACAGTCAAAAAATAAATTTTCTTCATAAGTTGAGGAAGCTATTTTTTATCGCTCCCTCCGTGACACTTTTCGTGCTCTAGTTCGTGCTTTTTTTTTCGCTCCCTCCGTGACACTTTTCGTGCTTTAGTTCGTGCTTTTTTTTCGCTCCCTCCGTGACACTTTTCGTGCTCTAGTTCGTGCTATTTTTTTTCGCTCCCTCCGTGACACTTTTCGTGCTCTAGTTCGTGCTTTTTTTTCGCTCCCTCCGTGACACTTTTCGTGCTCTAGTTCGTGCTTTTTTTCGCTCCCTCCGTGACACTTTTCGTGCTCGTGCTTTTTTTTTCGCTCCCTCCGTGACACTTTTCGTGCTCTAGTTCCTGCTTTTTTTTCGCTCCCTCCGTGCTCCTTTTCGTGCTCTGTTTCGTGCTTTTTTTTGTTTCGCTCCCTCCGTGACACTTTTCGTGCTCTAGTTCGTGCTTTTTTTTCGCTCCCTCCGTGACACTTTTCGTGCTCTAGTTCGTGCTTTTTTTTTCGCTCCCTCCGTGACACTTTTCGTGCTCTAGTTCGTGCTTTTTTTTCGCTCCCTCCGTGACACTTTTCGTGCTCTAGTTCGTGCTTTTTTTTCGCTCCCTCCGTGCTCCTTTTCGTGCTCTGTTTCGTGCTTACTGTTACAGCAATTAGGATTCAGCCAAATTATATATTATATATATATATACGATTTTATATCCCATGTAGTCCCATGTTGTATCCGCAGTATGGTTATCCCACTAATTACATCCCAAATAAATCTCCGGAATGAAGATGATAAAACCATCAGTTTTAATCAGACCACACTTTCACACAGACACACCCCCGAAATCACCCGAACATCGAACATATGCAACATGATGATGATAAACTGAAAAAACAATAAAAACCATCATCAACGAGCAAAAAAACAAGTAAACCCCACTTTCAGACACATAAATCATGATAAATCCATACAAACTACTATGTGTTTAATGGGTTAAGCCATATCAAGCCCCCTTTGTCTTTGACCCGGAAAAAATCACGGTGGAAGCCAGGCGCAAATCAAGGCTTTCGCAGCGGCACGCTGCTCCTCAAAGACCACCTGCCAGTAGGGAGAAGCGTAGGGAACTGGAAAATCTTCATCTTCACAGGTAAATCATCATCAATAATGTAGATTGAAATGAAGAATTGACATATGGTTCAAAAATATGATAATTCTTAATCTTATAGGAACTGGACATCTTCATCAATAATGTAGAAATAAACCATTTTCCACAATAGCTTATGTCAAATATAACTATATAACACTATATAATACTATATATCTAAATATGTATATATATATATATGTATACATATATCTGGAGATAGATATATCTGGCTGGATGTTGAGAATTCACTCCCCTGAAAATGGCTGCTGGGATTACTACTCATCATCATTCCAGTGACGTCACATCACAGCGACGTTATTTTTACAAGTCATCCACATATAATATATATATATATACAATGTGAGGCCCCCAAGATAGCTAAGTTGGTTTATAACTCCGATAATTATGGTTTATGGTACTTATAACTATAGTTACTGGGGCTTATAAACCAGCTTATAACTGGGGGGGCCTCACATTGTATATATATATATATATAATGGATCACTAATTATAATGGGTATAAAACCAAACATATGATTTCTGGCATCTATTCATGAACATGATTTCTGGCGCGTTCACAACAAAACAACTCTCCAGTGGTCGGACAACTCGAAGTCGCCACGTGACCCGTCGCTCCGAACGGCATCCATCCCATAGGTACCAGTGACAATTTTGGAAAAAAACATGATGGAGTTCGTCAATGGGGTTGGGATGACATCCCATATATTTATGAAATGGCAAATAATCCAAAAATAATTCAATATATAAAATTCATGTTTTAAACCACCAAGCAGTGATTATTAAGCATTATTAACTATGATTAATTAACCATCATTAACCATCATTAGTGACCCTTTGAAACCACCAAGCAGGGATTTATTTCTATACCTTGGAAACCATATATTTTGACCATATGGGATCCGTATGGAATCCATTCTATGCCGACTTGGCCATCCCATGGATTAGACATGTACTGATGAAAATCAGATGCTTCAGTCGCCCAGGCTTGATGCCGGTGGCCCAGGTAGATAGGTTTATATAGATATATAGGCCGTGTAACTGGAGTATATGATGGATATATGATATATGATGGATATATGATATATTATTATAATTATATGATGATATATGATGGATATATGATTCATATATGATGGATATATGATGGATATATCTACGGTATTCTAGAGTCCCCGTTCATATTACAGTAAACACAGAAACATCAGAAACATTCAGGAACCATAATTTTGTACAGGCGATTTACACATATTTGGCAACCTTTAGGGGGTGTCCAATATTCGGGGGATGGGATTGTTCATTGTTCTACAGTCCCTCATTGTGGGTACCACTTTGTGAGCACCATGTGAGTGGAAGAGTAGCGAAGTCCACCGATGTTTGGGCCAAACGAAGGGAACATGGGAACTATCCTGAATTGAGGATTGCACCTACAACTAATAAATTCTAATACCCTCTGGTTATTTAACATAGCCATGGAAAATGGCCCATTTATAGATGATGTTCACATTAAAACCACCATTTATAAGGGATTTTCCATGGCTATGTTAAATAACCAGATGGTAGGCTCTTTGCACTAGCAACTCTGGCCCATAAACGGGGACAGCTCCTGAAAAACCATGAAAAACCCTTAGCTTTGGGCGATTCTTCTCCTTGAACAAATACCGCGGCTTACCCAGGTGCAGCCATAGCTTCGCACCTCACATAGTGCGAAGGGGAGAACTTGGTCTCCTTAGCCGTCAGATGCCGTCAAGCACCACCCGGTAAAACGGTAAAACTGGTTGTTTTGGTAAGTAGGATGCTTACCCCGCAATGTACAACGGTGCATCAAAGGTCAATCACCATCTTGCAAAGCAATCCTCTTTCTTGGCCCCTGATAGATAAGAAGCAATCGAAATGAAGTCCAAAAGCGGCGTCCCTCCCACTGACCATTTTCTTCCAAATCCAAAGCGAATGTTCCAGTTTTCTTTTCGCGCGAATGTGGGACCACGTGGGACCTCAGGCTCTGGTTCAGTAACCACAGAGACGACTGTAAGCTGAGCGCTGCAGGTCTCGTCCATAAGACCACCAGGTATTGAATCCTCCTCATCCAAAAGTATTGAAGCTGTCAGCAGACCATCACCACATCCTCCAGAAATCGGAAAGTCGCCAGGACCGTCCTTGACAGGCTGAAAGGTGGTCGAGTCTATGCTGCAATCAATATCATGGGTTGACTTAGGGTCCTTAACAGGGCCTGTTAAGGGCTATGATTCTATGGTGTTTTGCCACCGATATAGAGAGGCTTCTGAATTGCATGGCCCCCAATTTTCTGACAAAAAGCTGCTGATCCTCCTCGTGAATTTTGGCTTCCACGCTTCCACCAGAGGAGGCTTGAGACGCTGCCATCTCAACTTATGTCAGCCCTAGATTAATAAATCATGGTTTATTGATGATGGGGATTCAAATAATATGATATATTATGATGATACTCAAGTATATAGTACCCCCTAGCGGTTTATTAATCCAGGTTGACAATTCTGACCATTGCTATAACTTTTGATTCGAGTGACTTGTCCATCATTTCCATCACAGAGTCTAAATCACCTGCAGGATCTCATGGTGTCAACCAGCTGGGTTTTCCATCTCAACTTCTCACTGGGTTTATACATCACTATGGGGGGCGACACCGGGCACTTCAGCACTTGAGACCGCTGCTTGGCTCTGCCGCTCTGCCTTGCTGAGATCCGCAAAGTATCGCTGGATTAGGCGCTGATGTCCCAACTTCACCTGGGCGGCGTCCGAAAGAACTGGGGCCATCCGTCGGTTTTCAAGGCACAACAGTCATTGATTCAGAAGATGCGGCTGGAAATCCAGTGAAATCAGCAACAGTTTCTTGTGGGAATCCATGGAGTGCATCTGGATCTGGATCTGAATACATACCCTATGGATCCCTATATGGTGATTGAATATATCTATGGAAAATGAGCCATTGATAGCGGATTTAACATGATTTCCTTAACGAAAATGGAGAGTTTCCATTGCTATTGTTGAATCATCAGAGAGTATTGCGAAATATGTCAAAGGTCTTAGGGATATTGTAGTGTCCGAGCTTCCATTCGCAGATCTTCAAAGAAACTGGACCAGTCCATTTGCACCAACGCCGTGTCCATTCGGATGTATCTCTTGGAAAGACCACGAACCTCGGGATGACTCAGCTGAAATGGAGCCACGCAACGGTGCTGTCACTGTTTGTTGGCAAACAAAACAACAGCGCATAGAGGTTTCCGAAAAATGGGTGCTACTCCCAAATCATCTAGAGATATAGACCATTTTGGTATTGAAAGTCTTGGGGATCCCCATAAACAAAAAAGCAATCTGTGCAAAAAAACGAAGCAGTTGCCAATTGCCATAGGGAGCCACATCTATCATCTATCATCTATCATCTATCATCGATCATCTATCATCTATCATCATCATCATCATCATCACCACCATCATTATCATCATCATCATCACCATCATCTCCTCTCCTGAGGTTGGCCAGCGAAATCGTGCTGTTGCTACCATCAACACGATCTGATTGCCACAGAATCCGTTGTGTCTTTTGTCCAAACCACCTTTGTGGATCGCCATTTGTTTAAACACATTTAAATCATTTGAATCTAACCCGTCAGAAGTGTTAACCTGATTTCTGAGGTTATGTATGTAGAACCATGTGTTTCAGCTTCCCATTTTTTCAGAAAACGCCAAAGGACGGTGGGATGTCCAAGCGCCAGCATCTTGGGCAGGTAGCACAGCAAGAAACCCATGGGCTCCAAGGACTGGAGCCACTCCTGAGGATCGACAGCAAATCCCTCTGTGAAATGAAAAGAACGGTCCCGGACCCCCCGTTCTTGGATTATGATCATCCCCATAATGTGTATAATATATATATATATACATAATGTGTATATATAATTATATAGATAATGTGTATATATATAATTATACAAATAATGTGTACACATAATTATATAGATAATGTGTATAATATATATATATAAAGGGTAGTATAATCCCAGAACCAAGCATCAACCAACAGGGGGGTTGAACAGTGCTCAACAGGGATTTCATTAAGAACCCCTGCCAAAATAGATCAAACTACTCCCTTCATGGATTCCCTTTTTCTAGATTTTCTAGTGGATGTCACTAGAAGAGGTCCTGAAGAGGTCATTGAGAAAATCAACATAAATCAACAAATCCCAAGTCAAATCCAAGTCAAGTGCCTTGATAATCAGCTCAGCAGGTATTCTCTCCAACAGTTCCACTCCACTGCACTGCGCCAGTTGAACGCAGCGACCGGGCACAGGTGGCACAGGTCGCTGGACCGCGACTGGCAGCGCTGGTGCCACAGACTCCTGCGCCACCGAAGAACCCCGAGACGTTGACAAAGTTGATGGCGTTTTCAAACGTTCAACCATGTTTAGCTGTTGAACCCACAAAAATTGGGTTTAAAATCAACATAAATCTGAACCCCCCAAAAAAATGGGTTTAAAATCAACAAAACCGGTCCTAGAATCACACGGTCCGAAATTTATATTAAAGAGCCCCAGGGGCATATTGTTGCATTGTCTCAACTACTAGTATGTGACTTGGCCCTACTAAACTTCGGTTTCCGGCGGGAGTGTTTAATACTAGGCGAAAAGAATTATATAAATGTCCAAATATGACCAAACAGCAGGACATTTTTTCCAGATATTGCCAGATATTTATGTTGCTGCTGAAGTATGATGAAGTTATCTGCCCCTAAATAGGCTAAGCACGAATTCATCAAGTCTAGCAAAGGCCCATTGTCCCTAGAGAAAAATGACAAACATTATCAAAAACTGTTACCCTCTGGTTATTTAACATAGCCATGGGCTTCATCATGGCCCATAGCCAGTTCGATGGTTTACCGTTCTTAAAAATGGGGGATTTTCCATGGCAAACTGTTAAATAACCAGATGAATTGCCATTCATAGTGGGTTTACCCATTAGATATGTGGCTGTTTACCAGATGGTCAGTGGGGATGCACAACCCAACCGACCATCACACTGTCACTCCTAAGAAATGAGGACCACCTGCAGGCACCGGCAGCCGGCTGAACCAATACAAATTTGTGGCCTTTGCGTCGAATCATTCACATGTATGTGTATATATGAGCCCGGTCCCCGGACCCCCACACCCCCCCCCCCTCCCCCCAATGGTATCCCCCCCCACTCCTAACCCCCCCCACCCCCCCAAAACCTAGTATTTGCATGTTATTTGCACATATACATACACATATACACATATATACTCCCCTTTCCACCCCTCCAACCTCGCATCTCTACGTTATTTGCAGCACTTGAGAGCCACGACCTCGTCAACGGACCTTGTCTACCTGTATATTTCTATCATAACCTTTTTTCGAACCGCCTATAGCGTGCCTCGCACATGGTTTACAACATATTTGCTACCTATGGATTACGCAAAGCTTACCTATGCAAACCTAGACATATGTACAGTAGAAAAACAATATATATATATATGCACATTCTAGATACTACATATTGATATCTTGATCTTGTATCTATCACATATTTCGTTTACATTGTACATACTGTACACGTATATATATATATATATGTACATATATATGCATATATATATATACATGTATATATATATATGCATATATATATATACATATATACATAAACTCTAGATATACAGCGTGTATTGCCGTCGATATTCAATATACCACATATACTATGTAAAATTTATTCAACGAACATATTTACCTATATTGTATATATTACATCTACTGTGGATACAGTACATGTGGCATATACTATCTATATTCTATCAAAATCCACATATTCGATATATATATATATTGCATATATTCTATTAATATCTTACATATTATTTTTTTATGTTTATATATATATATACACCACACATACACTCTATATTACATATAGTATATCCATTCTAATTATCGATACATATGCACTATATGCACTATATGCACTATATGCACTATAAAGACTACATACACCATGATTTCTATGTATACTCACCAGTGCTGCTCACGCAGTACCTTGGACATTGCTGGCACACTCCTTGCACTGAGCTATATATTTTGCGTATATCGGCTTGGCTGCTGAGAAAACCCCCCCTCCCCTGCCACAGGGGGGGGGGGGAACCATCTGGCTGGGGGAGGGGGGGGGTGTGGGGGTTCCTGCTCATATATATATATATATAATATACATTAACATGCATATATTATGAATTATTATGAGACAATTATATGAACTCTTCCTATCTCTTACACTGACTTGATGATAATGACTCATCTGAAACAGCCAGCGGCACCCTGGCTGCCGGCCCTCCTGTGCGACTCGGACGGCCAATGTCCAGCCATCCAAGTCTGACCTGAAGATGGGTGGGAAATGGATAGAAATGGTGCATACATGGTAGACAAGTGGTGTAAAACATGGTGGAACATTGGTAAACATGGTAGAACAATGGTGGAACAACAAAAATGTAGACAGATGGCACCTGGCATTTTTTTTCGCTAAACCATGCTAAACCTGTTCCCTAATTCGTGAGGTTGCCGTATAAACACAGTCAAGGATCATCCCACGAATCGTAAGTGATACATAATTAACCTTGTGACGTAAGTCCGCATTATATAGCCCTTAACAGTTACACCATCTTATAACTGGCTTATAATATTTTATGAAGATATAATATGTATTTATATGTATATATATATGTATTTATATGTATATGTATATATATATATAACTTTAGTAGCAGAAGTTAGAACAGCTGTTAGTTGGGCCACAACTGCACGACCCGGGGGATGATCCTCCACTAGCTGGGAGGCCGCACAGATGCATCTCCGCCGCAGCTTGCGCGCCGGAACGCTGAGCGAAGCGAAGCTTGGCGCGACCCTTGGGCTCTCCAGTCTTGCTGTAGAACACCTGCCAGGTGCATAGAAATCGGCATGGGCCTGCGATCATGACAATTAGCACTAGTAGATGATGATAAAAAAAAAGGTTGTATCGAAACATTTTATTTGGGGGGGGGTTGATGATTTGGAATGATTCTGAACCCATACCTACATGGCAATGTAAAAGCTGCATTAAACAGTAAAATGATCAGACCTCTGGAACATCAACATCAGCGTGCAAGAAACTCCTTTTTGGACTCTGAATATCATCGGTTCCACCAAAAAGCTGAACTCTGAATGCTCCATGCTGTAATATTTACCTATACATTTACACAATGGCCTAAACTGTAGGGAAATAAACCCAGCACCATGGAGCATCTGGGTAAGATATATTTCCCTCCAAACAAGGGAACTGGTCTCATTTTTCCTCAAGGGATCATGGAGCGCTGGGGAATAACGAACTACCGTTCAACCCTGAACATCCCGCAGAGACCATGGTGGATTTTGGAGATAAAAAGACATATGGAGATTTCCAAAGTCATGGGGGTACCACCAGTCATCATCCAGTTGTCATGACCATGACTTAGTGTTGAAACCTCGACCTCTCGTTTTGGTCATCCATCCTAAGAAATCCCCAAAAAGGGGAACATACGTCGTGGGGAATGCGGACTGCGGCGTCCTCCATCGGAAAATGGATGTCTGTCCCTCTACTTGCAAAATCATCGCACTTATAACTTAGCAACTGCTTTGCAACCCCACACCTCTGTATACATATATATATATATATACACGTATATAATATAATAGTGTATATATAATATGGGATAACCCCAATCACAAGTTCCCTTAGGGGATTTACCATGGGATTTTCTCACCAGGTTTGTTGAAACAACAGTCACTGGGATGATCTTCCAGCATTAAGCCAGAAGCCACTGATGTTGATGGCTTTTGGTTCGCCCATTTCCCTCACTATACTGTAATCACATGTTATAGTGATAACACATATTATAAATGGATAGTATAATTATATTTATATGTGTGTAAATTATACTGTAATATAATGACCCCCTTTCATCCATTTTATAATGATAACTATAACAAATTTATATCATTTCCCACACTATTTTTATAGTTCTAAATATAGATAAAAATATCATGACCCCCTTTCATCCATTTGAAGGACAACACGAACCAAACGAAGTGCCGCCATATAACTCGTCACATATATATTAATTGTGTTCTGAGAAATGTACCAGGCCCTACAGTATTGTATAAGCACAATCTTGTGAAACTCTTGCGACGTTGCTCTCATTTGCCCAGGTAGCTAGGCATAGCTTACCAGTTTCAAAACAAGTGACTATAACCACCATTGGGGTGGTTAACTGGATTATTACATGAGATATATTTTGTGATATCAGATTATCAGTGACAAACCCTCCGGCAATCAAACATAGCAATTGGACCCCCCCCTTTGGTTCCACGATTTTCACTATAAACCAATTCATTAAGGATTTTCCAGCGGCCGCCACGTTGAAACCGATGGCACCTCACACGACAAAATCTCGCCGCAGGCAGCAAAGTGGCGTCCTGGGCTTGGCGCGAGTTCGCAGTGGATCATGGTGTTCCAAGATGGGGATCATCTATGGATATAATGGAATAATGAGGACATAATCATATCATGAGGACAATTACTGGTTGGTGGTATACCTACCCCTCTGAAAATGTTAGTCAGTTGGGATGTGTATTCCCAATATTAATGGGAAAATAACATTTGTTCCAAACCACCAACTTGATTAAGTAAATATATCCCATAACATCCATGTATGCTATACATGCTAACATTTAGGGTATATTGATGGTAAATGTTAGCATATATAGCAGCACCATGGATCCTATGGGTATTAATATAAAGGATACCCACTGGTAAACAAACATGGCACTCTGGAAAATCCGCTAAATTCCAGCAACACCTCCATGGCGAGTCGGGAGATTTCCCAGCGGAAAACTGGGCAATGACCATATTGAGGTTACACCAGCATAAAGGCTTCATGTTTCAACATGTTTCAAGACCCTCCTATGGTTCTTCACAGAGTTTTACTTCAGCAAACCATGATGTTCCTGGATCCCAGTTTTGAATAGTATGAATAGTTTTGACCCATATCCATCATGGATTTTTGGAACTGAAACATAGTATTATCCAAAATTATTAAAGATCAAGCGGGCGTACCCGGAATTTCATTGTTTCACTGACTTGACATATGCAGCATGGGTGTTTGCTTTGCGGATTTTGTCCCTTCCTATACTTCGTATGGTATTGTGATTTGGAAACCAATTTCAGTTTACAATGTGAATTCGTGAGCTGCTTATGGTTGGTTGGTATTTGAAAAAAAAACAACTTCCCATGGTAACCAGTTCACAAATTCACATATTTGATCAACAACTTCCTCATCACTTCCCATTGGTATTTGATCACATACTATAAGATATTGTGATGGGGAAAGCTTACACTAGTTATAGTTTCCATAGTATTATCCCAATATTATAGTATCACCAGTATTATCCCATAGTATTATCATAGTTTCCATAGTGTTATCCCATAGTATTATCCCAAATGATTTTTGGTAACCCGTGAGGAAACTACTGAGCTGCCATAAGCTGAGCATCGCAGCTGTCCCTCCTTGGTGCTCCAGCTGAGGCTCTCAATGAAGACCTCGTGCCCTGCCGTCTAAGGCTCCGTGGAAGGCGTTTTTTCGATGGCGGAGTTGACCGTTAAGACATCTGGTTAGTTTGTTATCCATTTAACTATAGACGATATAATTATTACTATCTATAATATATAAATTTGGGTAAATTATAATATTTCACTAACCTGAATTAAGGCCCATTTGGGGATGATTTCCCTTACTAACCATGATTTCCAGTGAGGGAGAACAGTGAGGTCGTTATAATTTACCCATAAACATGAAAAACCACGAAAGACAGGGACTTCAGCATCATTTTTTGTTCGGCTTGATCCAATGAAGTTTTCCTGATATACCCACTACTGATGAATATCACCTTTGTTGATGAAAAAACACTAATATAAATACTGGATCATGAAATCATCCCTTGAATTTACTATGGAAGCCATAACATACATTACTGGTTGGTGGTAGGCCTATCCCTCTGAAACATATGAGTTCGTCAGTTGGGATGATGACATTCCCAATATTAATGGAAAAATAAAAGTCATGTTCCAAACCACCAACCAGTGATTATTAACCATTATTAACCATCATTAACCATCATTATCCCATACTAAACCAATGTTCCAAACCACCAACCAGATAAGATCTGTGGTCATACACAACCTGGCGAACTAACCCATCTTTCAGACAGCTGTTAAGCCCCTGGGCTGGCTCCAACTGTGGCTAATCAGGTGCAACCATCAATCCTTAAATTCAAACATGTATTTCCTGTGGCTAATTAAAAAGGATCAGTTGATTGGTATATATATATGCCAAGTTTATGGCAAAAAGAAAACAACATATGATTAAATGATAAAACTAGCCATCCAAAGTTTTCCCACATCACATATATTTAATGGTTGATTCCCCATGTTTGCTTGGCTAAACACAATTTTTGATGGTCAAAGACAAGAACAAGAAGGACTATCATCCTATATAATACTAATAAACTACTAACAGTCATCTATCTATCTATCTATCTATCTTATCTTATCTTATCTTGTTTATCTATCCATCTATCCATCCATCCATCCATCCATCTATCTATAATGTATCATTCAAACCTACTAACCTTGGTAGTTCTTAAACTCTTCAAGTCCCAAAGGATTTCCCATACCTCTGCGTGGCGTGTTCGGCGACGTCGCGAAGCTCCGCACCGTCAACGGCCGCCCATCCAAGCGCTGGCCGTTCAGCTTCAGAGCCAACGAGGCGGCCTGGGGAGTGGTGAACCTGAGCTGACAATGGAAGGGGGGCAATTTGAAGATATGGAACATGAATGAACATGCGTAAAAAAATAGAGTCCTCAAAGAGAAATCTTAAATTTGTCAAGTCCATTTTTTTGTTTAATAATAATATTCCATTAATTATAAATCCCTACAGTTATGGGCCGGCACTGCTGCAATGAGTCCAGAAACACCACTTTTCCAAAGCCACGTGATCGCCCTGTGCTGCGTTCTACGGCCAGGTGGGCATGTCGAATGTCTCCACAGCTGCTGAAGAATTCACGCAGGCGTTCCTGGCCATGGGGTCCATGGGGTCCATCTTTAGCCATATGAGCCCCCAGGGGCTCAAAAAAGCAAACCAACTGGAAGAAGACCTTATGCACATATCCTGAGTTTCAAATAAAAAAAAACATGAAGTGTTGGGCTCATTTCAAGTACTTGAAGTGAATGACCGCTCTGAACTCAGCATCAGCTGTGGCTTGATCCCAAGAGGAGGTACCAAAACCAGTGACTCCTAAGGACTTCGCCCCAGGTGTATTATAGACAAAATACAGGCCTAACCAACAGATCCGAACGTCAGTAGGTTGTGGGGATATGAGCTTAATTAGGTCTCCTGCTAATATATATATATATATGATTGGTGGTTTCAACCCTTCTGAAAAATATTAGTCAGTTGGAATATTAGTCGGTTGGGATGATTATTCCCAACATATGGAACAATCAACAAATGTTCCAGACCACCAACCAGATATATATATATATTGTCTCTGTCTATTTTTCACCCAACAGCTATAGCATGCATGTCACCCAGCAAATCGACAAGTCCCTGGGAACCCATCCGGAAATCCCGGGGCCCATCGGCCCATCGGGTCAGTCTCTTCCCCAAAACTATCATGTTGTGACCCCAATCATCCGACTTAGCAATTCTCATTGGGGTCTTCCTTTTGGGGTGTACCCTAAACATATAATAATAATAATAATAACAACTAAGTTTCAGATACAAATAACTAAACTAGCTTTCAAAAACTTCAAACAGCTAGGCTTAGCAGCTGATCCCAGAATTTCACATAAGCAAACCAGACCTTGATCCGTGTGAACTCTCCAAAACCTTGGATATAAAATCTGGAGTTTCTAAACAAAAATCAGATATTTACATTGACCAGCCAGCTATCTTAGATACTTCTGCCTCAGCACATCATACCATAACCATCCATAACCCTGGGTAAATTCGAATCTGTCACTTACATTCACTAACTTGAATACTTCGGCTGTTTGGATTCCAATATATTCCAATATATTCCAATAATATATGTCAATAATATATTCCAATATATTCCATCCAATGATTCCAATATATTCCAATGATTCCCCACCATTGGATCATTGGACCATGATTCCAGTGATTTACCCAGTGGAGGATCGCCGTGATTCCCCGCCTGGCTGGTCGTCCAGTTGATCCCAGCAACGAACACGGCCGTGGACTCCGTGGCGATCGCGTCGTCGTTGCGAAGCCGGGACGTCTGGGGTGCACGGAGGTGTTCACCTTGGAGATTTACCAAGGGAATGTGGTGCAACAGGTGTAATATCTAATCTATATGTATATATATATGTATATATACATATGATTATATATGTATGATTATATATATATATAAATGAATAAGTGTTAATGTATTAATTATATCATCATTTTTAATACATAAATGAAGACACACAGGGTCCAAGTGTATACATACACGCAGCATACATAAATTGACTATATAGCCAAGTTGGACATTAGCTAGCAGAGACGCAGATTCTACCAGCAAAGAAAAGGTGATTCAGTGATTCAACCTGCTAAATTAAGGCTTCAACTGCTTCAACATGGAGAATTCAAGAGCATCAACATATGGCCTTATGGATGGAAGCTACAAATATGGTTTTATCATGTTTTATCCATATAGGAATGAATTTTGTGGATACCTCAAGATACCAACTGACAGTTGGCTTCGAAAACTCACCAACTTCACGAAATCCAGCTGATCCCGCCACTTTTTACTATAATCACCTGGGATTACAGCTCCTGCAAGGAGCCACATATCATCATATCAGCCATCGTAAGCCATCATCTATATCATCTGGTTGGTGGTTGACCTACCCCTCTGAAAAATGATGGAGTTCGTCAATGGGAAGGATGACATCCCATATATTATGGAAAATAAAATTAATGTTCCAAACCACCAACCAGTGATTATTAACCATTATTAACCATCATTAACCATCATTATCCCATACTAAACCATTGTTTTTTGGGCTAGCCATCACTGCTCCATCCACTTGGCCCAGACGCGAATCTCCTCAACCGTAAACTCTCCAGCGAAGATCGCAGCGAGGTCATCGATGCTGTAGCCACGAACTTCCGCGTCCATGGCACATGGATCAACGTGCCAAGCACGTCTTTTTGTTGCCGCCCAAAGTGCTGCTCAGAGCTTCGTCCGAAAATAGCTATTGAAAATGGCCATTTATAGTGAGTTTTCCCATTAAACATGGTGATTTTCCATTGTTATGTTAGTTTACCAGAGGGTACCCGGGTACCCGCAAATAATAGGGGAAAAACTATGGAAAATGATGAAAATCCATTGGACTTGAGGGGTCCCTATTTTCAGACAACCTAGCATAGACCAAGGCCCGTGGGATTTTTCTGTGCTGTGGCTGGCCAGGAAGCTTACCAGGCGTGCTAGGGCAGCTTGTGCCAGGTGTACCACTTTGAATGAGTGGATGACCCGCTAGAACGAGTACAGTACCCTATTGTCTCGCCTATGGTACCTATGGTACCTCGAGCTTCAGAACCAACATATGACTGACTGACTTGAACCACCCACTGAATGCCTACAGCTGCAGAGACTCTGAACAATGAATCTAGACTCATTGTCTCATGGCCAAACTTAGCCTCTAGACACCCTGCAACCCAGAGGCTTTGTTTTACCTGGACTGTTGGAAATTAACCCACTGGCCATCGTTCACCCACTGTATAAAGTCCCAGGTCTCGGGACCTTGACCACAGAGAAATACTGCTACATTTTTCTTGAACAACTTGGGGCACAGCGGAAACAATCCCTTAAAACCAGGAAATCGCAGTGCATGATACAAACATATATAGTATATAATTATAATTACAGTATATCACAGTATATTAATATATATATATATATAAACATTAGTGATGTCAATCAACTTTAATTAGATATCTCTAGTGAGACACAGCAAGATCCATAATATGCTGGGCCCCACTAAAACTCCTAGAGACTCACGAACACCGTAAAGACATGAAGCTTTCAGGACCTTTCCATGATTGTGAAACGGGCGATTAGTATCCTGACAGTATATATCTAATTCTATATGTATATGTATCTATATAAACGTCTACAGTAATTATATATATATATATTATATATATATAAATATATTCTCATCACATATATACAATATTTTATAAATATATACAATGTTGCTACCTTCATGATACGTCTACATATCAACCACCTGTCGCATGATCCACCTGCCGCCCCGAGGTGTTTTGTCCCAGCATCCACTTCGAACACGGTAGACCTGTTGCCAATCAGCCTCAGGTCCAGGTGAGTTTGCATATGAAACGGGTGAAACACACCTGGCCAAGTACTGGCAGTACTGGTGAAAATAATGACACTCAGAAATGAGATAATAAGATAGTATCATTCTGATGCTGAAACAAAATCAACAGAGGCTCTTCAACTTTGACCCATACCTCGTAAAAGAAATTGTAAAAGAGGTATAACGCTCTGAATTTTCCCTCTAGATCCCTCTAGCAACACCTGGGTTGAGACATGGGCATCTATGAGTCATGTGATGTGGAGGAGGTTTATGGAATTCACCTATACAAGGCAAATGTTTTGCTGAGGTACTTCGAAGTGCAGTTCTAGTGAAATAAGCGGATATGTAACATGTAACCATATTTGTGGGGTTTATGTCTCAACTTATTGGGGTTTATGGCCATGAATATGCACATTTTAACCTTAGCTGCACCCCCAAGGAAGGCATGAGATGCTAAACCAAAAAAAAAGGTTTCTAGCCATGGAGTAAACCGCCTGTCAACTTCGAAGTGTCACCCTTTGTGACGCTATGATCAATTTAAAGGGCTAAGACTAGTTAAGACAAACACACACACACAGACACACACACCAAGCAGAAATACTAACGATGATATAATAGTATATAATAGTAAGTATATGTGCTTAATGATGAATGATAATGATGTTGATGATTCTAATCATGATCATGACCATGGTACTGGGCAATGAATGATCATGACATTCATAGAACATCTCTTGGATACCATCCCGTGCCCAGCAGCCACAGGGTCTACATCTGCTCCACGTGAGGCTGCCAGAGTAGAGGCTTGGTCTCGCACCAAACCTGGGAACACGTGGGAAAAGTGGCCGATTTAAGCAACAACAATGGTATGGAAGAATGGGTATATGGTGGGTATATGGTGGGTATATGGTGGGAATAAAAAGGGTATATACAGTACCCTCTAGTAAACAAACGTGGCAATGGGAAATAACCTATGTATACATGAAGCTTTATAGCTGGGACAATCACGAAAAAGGGCGGATCCTCCAGTGCTATGTTTGATTACCAGAGGGTAAAGCATTACTTACGGAAATAAAACCCACAATACAGAAGATCACCAACAAGAAAAGACAACAAATATGAACAATCATCAACATATCTCAGGATTGTCTGATATAAATTGTAAAGACTGTTAAGAAGAGGGTCAAACGTCAACGACCTAAAAAGATTTAAAAGAGACTTACACCATCTTACACCTCTAACAGAACAACAATTTAGGATTCGAACGCTCAAAATATAGAAGATTGCAAACTTTGCAAAGAACGAAGTGGATTCATGATCAACACTATGAGTCAACATCGTCAACATTTCTGTGATTTTTTTCTGTGCCACACCTTGCAGTGTTTTTTTCAAGTGGAGAATTGGAGCGTCAACGGATTGGTATACAGTAAACTTTGACGTTACCATCCAAAGCTGAGGCTTTTCCAAGAAAACACCTCAAAAAATAGTTCATAATATTTTTAAAACCCCAATTCCGGGATTTTCAGGTGACTAGTTGGTTAGTGTTTTCCATATTTCTCGACAACATTAAAGGACTCTTCTCAGGACCTTTTTGTATAGTTTTGCTCTGATAATTTAACATAGCTATTGAAAATGACCATAGAAATAGTGGATTTTCCCCTTGAAAACGGTGGATCCTTCCATCGTTTTTTGTATTTACCAGGCCGGGTCTACTACGTAGGATGGCAACTATTCAACACTTCCAGGATCAAGACATTCCAATCATTCTCTGGTGGTGCAATGTGCCCATCTTGAAAAATGATGGAGTTCGTCAATGGGTTTCGGATGACATCCCAATATATGAAATGGAAAATAATCCAGTCATGTTCCAAACCACCAACCAGTATTCTCCAATGTGCCCATTTTTTTCGGGCACCAAATGGCGATTTCAGAAATCTTCCCAACTTTCACCCTCCTGGAATCCAAATCCATTGATCCATGGGGCAGGAGGAGAAAAACTCGGGAAATTTTGGAGGGCCATCTTTCACCTTGGCCGGCGGTAGGGAAGAGCTAGAAATCTGGATCAATGGGTCATCATAAATTGCCATACATCTATAGGATCTATATGATGACCCATTGATGACCCATTGATCAATGGGTCTACTGTATATGTATCTATAGGATCTATATATCCTGCAAAAAGTTTTGAACTTCAACATCTACAACAGAAGAATCCCATCCTCCCATCATACTGACTACATATTAAATAGCCTCCAAAGCAAACCCTGGTAGACACTGGTAGACCTTGGATCTCACGGAACCACGGAAGCCATGAATTGAGGGATGGGATTCGGAACCCAATGAATAGAGTGGGTAAATCCCATTAACAAAAAATCGAGTTGTCGTTAACCATAGATTTCTTGTACAATCAGATTGTATCAGATCATAATACTTCATCAAATTCTCCTCAGATTCTTCGCTCCACGTCTTCCAGACTTGACCAAGGGCGCAGATTTTCTGGCAAGACTTCCTATGTTAAAGCATTGAAGTTTCAAGGCTTCAAGGTTAAGGTAGGTGCAGTTCCATTGCTCTTAAGGATTAACTTTGTAGCTATGAGAATTCGATCCCAACTCATGAAGGTTATAACCTTAGTTGTACTCATTAGTGACACCAACTGCCCCGTTTGGTACCTCAGTTTCACCAGTTTTGATTGTCCGTACAGTACCCTATTCTGATCCTTGACATGTTCTATCCGCATGGTCATTCCTATTTGGTAGATTGTACAAGTTAAGTTGCAATCGTCCCCAAGCATTGCTCGAGTCTGGTCCAAGTTCATATGCTCCTGAAATCTCTACCCACTGATCGATTTCGTCCTGTGCTTTCAGCCTAGGTTTAGAACAAAAGAACAAACATACCATACCGACCTTTAACGAGGTCAAAGAAAATCAAGTTCTCCAAGAGCCACTGAAGCAAACATTAACTATGTGATTGTGTCCGAACATGAGAGACACCAATATATACCACCCCAAATTGCCAGGGAAAGATACAGTAACATATTGGTGATTTCAAACCCATCTCAAAGAAAAAACATGAGTCAGTTGGGATTATCATCACATTGTTTGACACAGCTCCCGAACCACTGGAACTTGATGACATTCTGAACTACTTACTTTTTTCTGTACCTTTGAAGATACCACATTGTTTGTGCGGGTGAACATCAAATACTGTACTGGTAACTGGTAACATATTTAATTTGAAGCCACCAACTAAAGCATCAAGCAGTGGTTGTACCGAGATACCACCGAAGCGCGGCCCAAGGCTACTTTGCACATGAGGAAGGCCTGCGAAAGCCATGGACAGCTACAGGTCAATTGAAGTCGATCAAGAGAGGCATGTGGCTACTTGATGGATGCTATAACCTATAACCATGGTATATATATATATTAAATATGTATGTATGCAACATATATATATATATGTATTCAAAATATTACAAGACAGAAAAAAAAAACAAGAAAACTGGCAGGGTGCAAGTAAATCCATCATGGATATGGCTTGTGGTATCTCCCAAAAAAGAGCAAATGTGGCAACTTAATATATTTTGATGTACAGAAGGCTGATGTCTGTTGAGTGCCTTGGCTGAATTTGAGATTCACGCAAACAATCATGTTCAGTCGGATATGTACATGTATGTGTATGGCTGCTGCAATTCAGTTTATCACACTGATTTTTAACATCATTTACCAAACCCAAACATAAATGGAAAAAAACACCAAATGATCTCAGTGCATCAAATGGGTGTCTGAAAATAAGGGTAGCCCTAAATCCATTGCTGCATCATCATTTTCCTTACTAAAATGTTCATTTGGGGGGTATGCCGTATACATCATTTTCAGACAAACCCACATGCAGCTATGGCCCCTAGCTGCTCTAAAAGGATAAAAACAACTCTTGCAACTAGTTGGCTATCATGAAATAAGCCAGTTACAATCAGTTATAATCCCATTGTGTAGTGATTTCCCATAATTTTCCCATGATTTTACCATGATTTTTCCATTTGTTGAGTGCCCATAACTCCCAAAACCCCTGATCTATGCCGGCCACGGCCGCCTTTGCTTCCCGCCCTTTTCGATGGCCCCGGGGCGCTTGTAACGAGCCCACGGGGAACTCGAAGTGTTCCCAGTCCGCGTCCAGGCGTCCAGCATCGATCAGCTCCGGCCAGGTCGACTCCGAGGCCTCCATGGGGAGAGGAAAATCACCATGGCTTCTGAGAGTACCAAAATCCAAGGGGAGGGATATATCTGGGTAAATTATAATATTTCACTAACCTGAATTAAGGCCATTTTGGGATGATTCCCCTTACTAACTATGATTATAGGGAGGGATATATGTTTCGGGATGTTTTTCTCCTTTGGAGTTTTTGGGTGCCCCATCTCCAGTGCCAAGAAGCTAGTCAACAATGCAGTCCGTCCATAAGCTGCGGAATGTTTGGTCTTCTTGGGGGATATATATATATATAAATCAGTTGGGATTATTCTTCCCAATATATGGAAAAATACAAAATGTTCCAAACCACCAACCTATGTATATATATATATATATTCTGGGCAAAAAACATAGTCCAATATGTAGATACAAAAGATCATGCGCTGTATGGCAAGATCGTCTGAGGTCTTAAACCTTTTCTGACAAACTTATCATGGGGATCCATTGATCCCTGCTGTTGGGTGAAGCAAACCAAACTCCAAAAGGGCCTAAATAGAACGTCAACACAGAAATACATGTCTGTACCTAGATTTTCCCAAACCCTTCAGATATGGTGGCTGTAGCCACCACTACAACATCATCCTTCAGACCCACTTATATACACGTGTTTCAACTTCAAACAATGTCATATACTGTTTGGGGTATACGGGTATTGTTGCCTCTCTGGTTGCTGCTTGTGCATTGTTTCACTTCATCCCAAACGTATTGAGTCTCAACCAATGGCAAATAATTTTGAGTTGGTGCATGTTGGGGCCTGTTGGGGTTCAAAATTCCTGAACATATTCCACAGTGCAAATTTCTTTCACACAGGAGCAAGAGGGAGGCGAATCTACCCCATCTGACATTGACAACTCACCATAAATACATACTATATCTATGTATTATATATATATACACAACCACATATATACCTCGATACCCAAAAGATATCACATATCATCTCTGCCAAACATCCAAAGGTGATGTTGAATAATCCCAACATGGGACGTTCCCGACATTGCCGATGTAGTAAACCCAGAGTTTGGTAGTTCAAACGCCACATATTTTTGGTACATGGGTACCGGTACTTGGGTTTAAATACCAATTTAAGTCAAAGTTGGGTTTTCCGGATCAATTTAAGTCAGTAGTCATTGCTTACTTGGCCGTGCAGTTGGGACCATTTTCATGACATAAATGATTGTTTTTTGGGTATAATAAACATCGATTCATGACTCCCCTAAAGTTGGGATGCAACACGTCTGCCTTAATAAAACAATGGTTTTTTGTATGGCTGGAACTGCAGCCCCGGCGGCAGAATGTCTGGTCAATCGGCAGAATGGTGCCCCCACCCTGACCTCTTCTCCAAGGATGTCTTCGACATCGATGAGGCTATATACCTTGAGAATTTCGCGGCGGTTTCACATCAAATACACCGTGATACACCATCTGGTTAGTGGTTTTAACCATCTTGAAAAAATAGTCAACCATCTTGAAAAAGATTAGTCAATGGGAAGGATTATCCCATATATGATGGAAAATAAACATGTTTGAAACCACCAACCAGCCATTTGTTGTGCCTGCAAGAAATCTATAGAAAACAACAGCAATTTTCAAGTGGCCGATAAATTGATGTTCGTCCCCAAAAAACGCAATAGTTCCATCTCCCTAACATCAACCACCACCATCGAAGAAAACTGGTTTAGCATAGGATCCATTGGATCTGTTCGTTATCGTCTCTGTTGTTGATTTGAACCATGATGGGATTATTTTCCCAGGTGCTATTCCCTAGTTATCAGTTGGTTTACTCATGTTTACTACCTATAAATCACCATAAACGCGCAGAAATCACATGAAATCACCATAAACCTATCATGAACCCAGTAGCGAAACTAGTTCTTAACCAACTATCATACATCAACCTATCGATTCCCATGTGGTCCCCCCTATCGACTGCCGGGCTGCAATGGGCCCCTGGAGCTTCTCAGCATAGACACGCAAGCGCTCGAGGTCCGGACCAGCCGCTAGGGACCAGCCCTGTTTGACCTCGGCAAAAATGGTAAATCCCTATGGATCCAAACGGTTTACCCTCTGGCTATGTCAACAGTTTGCGAACTGGAAAATGGCCCAGTCGAAATAGTTGATTTACCCAGCTATGGTGATTTTCCATAGTTATGTTAGTTTGTCAGAGGGTATACATGTTTATACCACCCATAAAAATATTGTTTTTTTTCATGATTTTGTGATTTTGGGGGATGGTAAATGGTATCATTGCCAATCTAAGGATGCCCTGCAAACAATTAGAAATGCTTGGCTAGGACATGTAGATATTCATGCAAATTAGCAAACAAATAAAGGATTAAACTACCCATCCAAGGTTGACCTAGTAACCAGATATTTGACCGGGTTTTCATGAAGATTCTACTCAGCAACAATGGCATTCTACCCGGCAAAAATTGGATTTTGCCTTGCAAAAATTGGATGTTACCTTGCAAAACTGGGATGAATCCCAACTTCATGGTTTCAGTTGGCCAAGAAAACCACAAAACCAGCCATATTATGGTTGAAGGGATCAACTATGTAGCCAACTGGTTTCCAATACCAGTAGATGGATGTAAACCCTGTGAACCGTTCGGGGAAAACAAGATATGTATAGCATATGTTTGTTCGGGTCATTGGAATGTCGTGCAGGAATCAGTGGGGTTATCCCATGGCATGAATCCATGAATTTCGCCCACATTCTCTACGAAAAACCGACGTCAGTTTAGGGAGCCTCAGACAGAACCATAATGTCAACCCTGGATTAATAAACCCCTAGATTGTTTAATTGGGAGGGTACCATAAAAAGTATTTAACAAAAGTATCATATTACTATTGGCAGGGTACACCCCTAATTAATAAATTATGGTTTATTAATCCGGGGTTGACATTACATCAGATTGTTGACTAATTCTCATGAAATCTCACCAAATCCCATATTATTATCACATTAAACATTACAAACATGTATCCAGTTGTGTCAGCAAATTTGTTGGGTTGCAGAAATTTTAAGATACCCAAACTAAAATATCCTCTCTACTTTGATGGTTCATCCTACTTCGGCGTTGAGCTATGAAGCTGGTCATTAAGTAGGTTTTCTCCACTTATAATAGCATGCAAGACAGGGGTGTTTCTACATGTAAAACATATAAACATGCACTTTCGTATAGTTACGTCGAAGAAACTTATAACTTATAACTAGGACTGTGGACTACTTGCAGGAATAACCAGCTTTACACGCGCATGTCACATTCGCCCCAACAAACCAGTCCAGCGTCATGCAAATCTGTGGAGCGGAAAGTCAACTTGCACCAATACCTCAGATGGCAAGCGATGCTGATCATATTGTTTGGGATTGCCTAGACCTAGACCTATAGACATTGTTCGTATCTTATGTATCTTCATGAAGGTTCACAATTTGTTGTATCCCAATATTGAAACATCTTTCAAACGTCTTCCTGGAACTGGGATGTCATATATAACTCCTTGCAAGTCGGGAGCAAACTCTTCCAAGTCATTGCCGAAATCAGGCGTTGACAGCGTGTCTCCGAACCGTAGCAAGAGAAAGACCGTTTTTGTTCGGTTGAAGGAGGTTTTTTATAGAACTTTAAGAGCAAGTTGACAAAAAAAACATAAAAAACATTCAGCAAGCCTCTCTTGATGTCTTTTCGCTCCACTTCTGGACCCTGGAATAACCCAACCCAAAAACCTGGAACCGCCATCGAAGCTACTCCAAATACAGTAGCTCCTCTGCCTCGCGAAGTTCTCGCGCTGTTGGCGCCATGCATGGCTGCAGGACAGACACTGGTTAGTGGTATCAGCCGGTTGTAGAGAATATGTGTATATATATATATGTGTATATATATATGTATATTATGCATATAATATATTACATACATTGCATCATATATATTAATATATATATTATACACTATGGGCCAACTGGAAGGGATATCGGCATCATCTTGTCAACAAGAAAACACAAAGCTGGAGCCGCTGGAGATGAAGTCGTCCCAATCCCTATCCTTTTGGTGGTTGACCTACCATCTGGAGGGTTACCATGGATGGTTGATGATGATTAATGATGGTTAGTGGGTAAATCATCTGCTGGGATTATGAAATTCCAAAATATGGAAAAAAACATGTTCCAAACCACCAACCAGCTATGAACACGGATTGATGACGATCCCCCAATATGGGTATACTATGGTATACTATGGTATACTATCCATCTTTTGATCATGACACATATACTACATGGAAGCTGGACATTCAGAGAACTACTGAAGTCTGAAGTCCGAACCCCTCAGTTTCCAGGTTGTCCCCCAACAAAAATATGTGCTGGTAACGACAGCAACTGATGCGCTTTGGACTCAACCACAAGCGGCTTGAGCCAATCAAAGTTGCAGGGAAACTGAGCATTCCTGGACGCCCAAGAAGAGTCTTCCTCTGATTAAACCTTTGATTCGAGAAAACCAACAGAGATATGGAACACCCATTGTTTCCAACTTGCTTTGAAAACCATGATGTCATACCTTCCGTTGCCTTCTTCGCATCCCATGTATTCTCTACATGCACAGCTTTGTCCCGCTTCACCTCCCCCCGCTGGCTTAAACATCATCCAGTTGGACCATGGGCCAATTGTAGATGGTCTTCCTATTGCAGTTGAGATGTCCGAATTGTTCACCAAATTTTGAGTCATCGTAATGTCAACTGCGGAGATGTTTCTTTGACCAAAGAGTAGGGCCTCACTCCAAAAGCTGATTCTAGTGATAGTGAAAGCGGTGCCCCCGATCCATCTGGTTATTTCACATAGCCACGGAAAATCACCATTTTTAATAGGTAAACCATCTATTTCTATGGGCCATCTATACCATGGCTATGTTAGTCATAACCAGATGGTAAGACTTTGATCCATGGTAAAATCTACCATAAATAAGCTGGATCAGAAGATGCTGAAATATTGGCCGAAAAAAAATGATGATCAAAGTACCTGTTCCCAGATGTTCCCAGTATCTCTATACTGGAAACAGCAGTTTTTCAATGCAACCCTTACTGGTCAAACGTCCCAAAAACTGGTCTGGTTTCATCCTCAAAGTCTCCTCCGATCTTAGCAACTTCCAGTTCTGAGCTTCTCAGCCCGTAGGCGCCCATTGGTGCAAGGGCTCCCCCGACTGATGTTTGTTGGTTCAAAAACACCATGAACTATAATTTGTGATATCATGTTATATTCACCCCAGTTCGACTCTAGCTATAAACCATGATAAACCCACTTAGCTATCATAAAGTAGCTATAAATCACCATATCTTCCTGGTTCAACTCACATTGTTCCTGGTGAACTCTCCGCCTGTGCCCCGCGTGCGGCGTTGCGAAAGCGGTTCACCATGGCGCTCGAGAGATCAACACGAGCCACCTGGACAAATGGGGAAATCATGGGAAATCATTGTGGGATACGATGAAGTGTGGGTAAAACAATGCCATAAACCACCCCATTTCTGATGGAAGTTTATACCAGCCATATAAATGGTGATGACTGGGGGATGGTGCAAATGACATTGTTTTTCCCACATTAAATGGGATTATGGCCGCTTTACCGATGAAAAACGGTGATTCTCCATAGCTACGTTCAATCACCAGCAACTAGATCAACTGTTGGGTTTATGGTAGATAAAACCTATAACATCCTATAACTAGTCGGATTTATAAACAAAGGTTAAGGATTTTTGTAAGGTAATTATATCACTGGTGGGCACCATCTTGCAATGAAACCTCAGTTCAATTCTCCGCCCAGAATCTGATGGTTCAACTCAACATTGTCCCAATGAAAACATGGCCATTTTGTGCTACCAGTATTACCCACTTAAAGGGACAATTCACCTATCCTTGATTCATCTTGATTCTACATCTCATTGTACCCCTGAAACAGGTTTCATACCGTAGTAGCTTAATCATCTTAATCTCTCCCCATTGTTTGTTGCTTCATGATTGCTAAGTCATTTTGCCACGCTTGCACAATCCTTTCGAATTACCCTCCAGTAAACTAAGATAGGCGTGGAAAGCGTCGAAGCATCGGGGGGAATCAGCAGTTTTCCACAGCTTTTTGTTGGTATACTGGAGGGTAAAAATGCCCATGGCCAAGCTTCGATAGCCAAATAAGTATAGGTAATACATGTCCCATATGCTCCATGGTGCTGGTATATTTACCCACATGACTGGGTGATTTTTAGGGCAAATGTTGGTAAATATTCCATACATGGAGCATATGGGTGTAGACCCTTACAAGTGTGTTTCATGGTTCAGCGATGTTCAACGTTCACGCCGTGGAAACCCAAGTATCGACCCATTAGCGAGTCGCTCACCCGTTTCCCAAGGTTTACCCAAGTGGCCTTAGTTGTAAGTTGGTTTACCCACTTAACGACTGTCTACCATAAACCCAGCAATCTAGTTACCCATAGGATCCATGTATGCCATATATGGTAACATTTACCATCAATATACCCCAAATGTTAGCATATATACCATACATGGATCCTATGGGTTATAAACTTATAAGCCAACGTAATTCTGCGGCACCACATTGTAGTGGTACGTTAAGTCCAATTTGTTTGCTGGGTAACCCCCCCGCAAACCCAAAGTGTTGCTGCTTATAACACGGTTGTATCATCATTTTTTTCTACTACCACCCCCCAAAAAATGTCCCCCAAGTAGATGTTTCAACAACAGTCCCAAGTATACAAGTATACCTGGATTTGCTTAATCCAGGACCCCCAAATTGTGAACAATACATACTGGTTGGTGGTTTCAACCCCTCTGAAAAATATGAGTTCGTCAGTTGGGAAGGATTATCCCATATATTACTGGAAAAATAAAAGCCATGTTCGAAACCACCAACCAGATAGTGTGGGCAAAACAATGCCATAAACCACCCCATGTCTAATGGTTTATACCACCCATAAAAATGGTGATGACTGGGGGATGGTGCAGTGATAATGGGATAGAGATAATGATGATATTATTTATTGTCAACATGGGATACATATACATGTATATAATATAATAGTAACATAATGTAATATATTATCCCATTTATAGTTGATTTACCCATTATACATGGTGATTTTCCATAGTGTTTGGTATGTTTGCCAGATAACACATCTATTCCCCGCCTCGACTCCGAGGGAATTGGCCGCGCCCACACCGGTCACCACACCCAGCCCGGCGCCCGCCGTGGGGCCCAAAGGGGTGACCTCGGAAGCGTCTTGGGATTCTTGGACTATGCAGGTTTTTTCTTGGGGAAGTGTGATGATCATTGATGATGAAAATATGTTTGTTCGTTGTTCTGATTTTCTGATTTTCTGATTTTCGATCCAAACTCAAATGGGATGGATCGTTTCTACGACCTGAAAACAAACAAAGCAGTACAAGGGAGAAAGGGCATACTGGACTTTGAACTACTGTAATTTGAATGTGTGACATGCTTTAGCCAGCACCAAAAAAAATACTCCGTATCGATTTTGATCACGAACACTTATCAACATCTTATCCAACAATGGTATCATGTATGTCGTTCTGTTGTATTGAGCATATGTTTGTTTTTCCTCGGTACCCCAAGTTGACCCATCCGCGTTTCAGTTGGTACAGCCACTTTGTTGGGTAACCCAGGTCTGATTGATTCTTCCCATGATTGCCATTGGAGACGTCGTTCCATGTGTGGGATTCAGAACGGGACATTTTTGTTGAAACAGTCCACTAGAGATAAACCATGATAAACCATGATATAAACCAGTTGTACTCTATTATTTATGGCAGCCAAATATATCTTTGTTTTCATCTTCACCCTTCCCGCACTTCGATTCTGTCAAACAAGATGCACACATGTTTGAAAACACATAAATATAGATTGATTTGTAAAATCATCCATATGGAGGTTTCCTAAGTCATGGAGGTTTTGCCAATAGCTGGATGGTTTGCATCATGATACAACTCCCTTAGTAGTCCCCTTATTTTGGAAAACACAATTGAGACTCCGTTACCCAAATGCTCCATGAAGGGAATATGTTCCAACAGTTTCCGCAGAAACGATCTCAAGTCTTGCTGCTTCATATACCAGACATAGAGCACGTGGATTGGATTTTTCCAGAGTTCCTTTGGTGTTGATATTGCATGTTAAACCATCTCAATAGGGACCATGATGGGCTACAATAAACATCAATAAACAACCAGAACCCCTCCGGTTCTGACTGGGATACGCTGAAATGGAATGGAATCACCATGCCGGTGAGACTGGATCAGAAAAAGCAGTGGATTCAGAGATTTGAACAAAGCATGCAGCAAAATGGCCCTGAACAGCTATAAATAGGATTTTAACTCCCGCACCTAATTGGCTACATATTATATATATATATTTATACAGTATATATATATTATATATAGTATAATATATATATATATAATCATATAGATATTCATATAGATATTCACAATGTGATGTTCCGCTCTATAGGCTATAGGTGTTTCAACCTTGAAACTTCCACCCCCAGCTTGCCCGGGAACTACAACAGTATAGATTCATTAGATATGTCATGAAATATCAACAGTTGATTGATCCCATTCTCCAGAGTGATTTCTCATCGTGCGCCCATCACGTTCCCAAGACTGGGCTGTCCCCACTAGGCCACCGGCGGCACCGACCAGGGCACCCGCCACAGGCGCCAGCTGCGATACGGCGTTTCCAACCAACTGGGCGGTGCTTTGGCCATGAAGCGACAGCCTGAGCTATCTATTTATCTAACCTAATCTAATCTAATCCAATCTATATACAATTATATATATATAATTATATCATATTATATCATATTATATCTAATTATATCTATACATAATATCTATCAACAATCTTTTGATGTTAGATCTGTTGACGCAGCACTGTCACAAACGAAAAGGACTTGGCTCAACATGGACTGCAGATCAGAGTGATGTCATCGCAGATTATTTACATATCGGGCTGACATGTGTGGTAAATGTCGAAAAAAAATGCACCCTCAGGCTGTTCGCAGTTCCTAAAGCTCAAACGGATTCTGGAAGTCATTGAAAAAAGCGGAGCCTTTCAACATCTTTCGGCAATTGAACCAATTCTCGGAATGCCTCCGCCATAGTTTGGGGGCCGTCCATCCCAACCCATCGACACGCCTCTTGCTGTTTGATGACGATCGACAGCTGTTGAGTCTCGTCCTCCAAAATCAGGGTTTTGTCCGACCCGGGACCCTTTGTGCCAGAAAAACAGTGCTGGGAAAAGCACGGGAAAATGATGCGAAAACTGGCGAAATCTGCACAGTGCTGGATTCAGCTCGGATTTATAACTTTAGGTACAGAAGTTACCCTCCCATTTAAAAGCGTTAATTGATAAATTAAGGGCTATAACTCTGGTGATTTTCCATAGCATTTGCTGTTGAATTACAGAGGGGATATCCCAACAAGAACTGACATGATTGTTTTTGGTTGTCGTGTTTCAAATTTCCAAACAAATGCATGACCCTCAAAATAATCATACCGCAAGCATCCACATTATGCCATTGTCAATTGTGCAAAAAATGAAATTTGATGTTCGATGACATCAACATGGGGCTAATTGAGCTCTGTAGCTCACATCATTGGAACGGCAACTACCCAAGACAGTCAGCCCATGGCTTCCCACATCACTGAGTTGTAAGATGTATTTCATATTTACACTTATAGCATCTTATATCCCTTAATTAACAGTCATGACTATTCAACTCAACCTTAGTTGCAGGAGTGATGAAAGCCATGGCCATAACTGTAATCCGCAATTTGAAAATAACACAAGGGTGAGATGGCCGGAATATATCACCAAAAGAATTCTCCCAATTTCTTTCATCATGCAACAAGATATCCCTACCTCTCCTTCAATGGTTATCACTGCTCGTCAGTACTCAATCCGTTTTGTATCGTTCAAATTTCCAAGTCTGCCAGGGTTGTTCCCAATAGCCCAGATGCAAGGGAGATAAATTTGGTAGAAAATAACCTAACACTCCTTGACTCCTTGCGGCTATCATTTACCTATACCTAGACCCTCCAAATACCTCCAAAAAATGGTACAACAATTATGGGTTAAAAAAACACACCATTTTTGATCATTTTTGTGGGTACCTGGAGGGCCCACAAAGAAAATCATTAAAATACATCAACTATAATCAACTCTGGATGATATCCATGAACTATCAGTCATCGATGATACCCATGAAAATCATAGAACCACTGGGACCGCTCCTCTTGGTCGTAGTTCAGCTGAAACTTCTCGCGCAGGACCATGGAGTCGGTCCGTCCGTCGTGGGGACGGGAATGTTGGGGCTGGCATGGTGCAGCCGGACGGCAATTTTCTTCATGTGTCCAAGGGATTTGTCAGATTTCCACCCAAAAAAATGTTAGATATTCCCTTAGATTAAGGAGGACCCCCCCAAAAATGATTTTTTTTTTCACTTGCCTTGGATTTTTCGGATCCCCCCCCAAAAAATGAAACATATATTGTCAAGAAACAAAATCACCAAGTAAATCGTCTCAGCAAATCCAACGGTCATCGTCTCATAGCCATGAGTTCCAGGTTGGATTTGTGGGGGTTGCACAGTGACACGAGCCGAGCCTTCAAAACTATGAAAACCCTCCGGGCTTCTCAAACATGGAGGAAACGTGGAGGTTTATAGCTGGGAAAGTCATCCATAAATGAGGGATTTTCCATTGCCAGGTTTGATTACCAAAGGGTAGCTCAACAATTAAATTTACGAAGCCTTCAAAGCCGGATAGTTCAAAATTCATTGCTTGGAATCCCCCAAAACGAGGGGGGAGCGTAGTACGCTCCGGAACTTCTCTTGTCACTTGCCATCCCTAAGCTCTGGCTGCTACGCTCACTTCTCTTGTCACGACCAACGTACTACCAACAGATCCAAACCAGAAGCGATGCACAGGAAGATTCGAGTTAGACAATGGAAGACATGGTAACCGGTGGGGTGCTGAACGTAGCCGAGCTGTTTCAGTGACAAAGCAGGACCAATCATGGTCAAGTCGTACGGCCCAATCCCCCCAGCGTCCACAAAGAAAAGCGCCTCGTTGTAGCCCAACAGCATCCGCACGAAGAGCGTCCGCGTGGAAAACGCCGCTGGGAGGCCTTGAGAAACGACTTCAGCGAAAACCCTGGCGAAATCGTCCAGAAAATCGTTGCAGTTATGTTCCTTAACGGTTATAGTTATATATATATATGGGATTATAACTCCTGCAACGAAGGTTACAGTATATGATATGTCACTATAAGCCAGTTATGATGGTTAGTAGCTATAGCTGTGGAACGTGTGAAAGTGAATGATGGAAGTTGAAACAACTCAGGATTTGTTTGAATCTGTCTGAAGATAGTTGAGAAGATTGTTAAGAAACATATCAAACAAAATGAACGAATTTGATGGAACATTGAGACCATGTTTGCAAACGATAAAGATTTTAAAGCGGCTAAAACAAAATGTTTGAAATTATTTGGATGATATTTTGAATGGATGATAGCACTAATCATCTCAAGCCCGCCAAACAAACACAAGACGTTCACATTCTTTGTGATTGATCTGGTTCAAACTTCCAACATGTTTCCACTTCAGGGACTCAGGAAAACTCAGGGACGCAACCTCAAACTGAGACCAACCACATACACCGTGGTTCATACAAACGCCTCCTGAGAAACTTACACCGAAAGAAATGATGCACCAAAGACTTCAAGTGAACTTCAAGTGAGACAAAAAACAATGGATCTCCATGGAAAAAAAAAACAAACACGCCGTATCAACCCTCATGAAAATTGGCTCATCCCTACCCAAAAACCTACCGGGATCAGATGTTCTGCCCACCTTCACTGGGATTGACCAAGGTTGATCCATCAACCGTCTCGCTCCTTGGGCATCCGCACCTGACACTTTCCAGAGCGTCACCTGCTGCGTGTCACAGAAACATGATCTTTGGGCTTGGAGAAAAGGTGACAATACAAGTCAACCCTACTAGTTAGTATATTATGTGTTGGTGGTTAATAAACTGTCAATAAACCTGACCAGCACGATCTGAAGGTCAACATATTTATCAATAGATAATGATATGTGCACAAATCATCAACCTCACCAAGTATGGACGATTTGAGAAGTTTTCAAAAACCCTCTGTCGTCCCCTGTTGATTCATGATATCTTCGGAGATTATTCTTTGATCACAATCAATGAACTGTGAATCACTACATACCAGTATCAAGCGTTTCAAACGATCATTTGGAAAATCAAATCTGAGGGTCTTCAACATGACAATTTGTTTTGCCCAGGAAAAATTGGTGAAAAAAAACGCCCCGCCTCAATGGGCGAGAATCGCTGGGCCTGGAAGAGCGTCAAAACGTCCTACGGCGTTTCTCCGACAAAAACCGCCAGGCATGAAACATGGGGCAAATTCTCGGATTTTGCCATCGGTGTTGAAGAAATAAACTGCTTGGTGGTATACCTACCATTGTGGTTAATATACTGTTAATAATGGTTAATATATATATATATATATGGTTATTATATGGTTAATGATGGTTATTATTAACCAGTATTAACCATATTATGGTTATCGCCGTTCAATATTGGTTTCACTGTACCTTATAATATGGTTAGCCTTATAATATGGTTAACCATTATGAAAACCAGTATTAACCATATTATCACCACTATTATCATTATTAACCATATTATCACCACTATTATCAATCAATATTAACATCACTGGTTGGTGGTATACGATCCCCTCTGAAAAATGATGGACTTCGTCGGGATGATGAAGTTCCAAAGCACCAACCAGCTACAAATTGGTGATTTTCCACGTTTGATAGCCACTTGTAGGGGATATAAAATATAAATAAATGTAATTATTATATAATATTATATACATCTCATATTGCCTAGGCAAATTGTCCGACAACTGTCAAAGTCGGAAGACCTTTTGGGAGGAAACAAAGCCAGTCCACATTGACACGGCGTCAGACTGGGGCGTCAAAGCGGCCATGAGTGTTACTGGACCATGACTCAGCATCCTGGGACCAGCAGTGCCCAAAGCCTCATTGGATGTGTAACGGATGGCTTTTCGAAGCCAAAAAGTGAACTCTACATATATCTTGTGGTTTAACATGGTTTGACAGGGGTTTTTCACTCGTTAAATCATCCCTATGTTTATCTTATATTGTCTATTTTCAAAAATGTTCGGGGTTAACCAATGAAGCTAAATATGCTAAAGAATTTAAACAATGATAGATTCAACTTCATGTGTTGGTTCTTGATTACTGTATATTCTTGCCAAATAATGAGTTGTGTCTTTCACTCTTTCCAAGCACATATAGGAATGCCCCTGACAGGCGCATCTCCGGCTCCTTCAAATCCGCCCGAACAATCTGAGAATCATAGCCTCAGCTATGCCATGCTGCCACATGGATAGCTCCCTTTATGTTATATATGTATGCCATGTTGACACGATGTATCCATCGACTGTGGGGGGAGGCTTGTCATTGGGCGTTTTTTAGCTTTGGCCGCATGATATGAGCTTGTCTGAAAATGGATGAAAACCTACACATGGCAATGATACATCCTTAGGTTTTTTTGTTGTTTTTTTTTTTGTTGGGTACCTCAATTTTATTTCAATATCTTTGACGGTTGTCAATGATTGGGATGTGTCGGTGCTGTGGATCACCCAGCTCCCCGGCGAAACAGCCAAAGGGGCCGAGAAGACTCACGATCTTCTTCCGCATCAGCAGCGCCACCAGGATCCCTGCTGTGACAATAGAAGCAACAGACTGATGTTAAGTCTGTTAAGTGACATTCCCTGGAGAAATATGACACCTCCTTTTTGCTGGAACTCATAATCAAGCTCGCTAGGGGTCTTTCACTTCAAGCAGTGTGTAAGGAACTGTTGAACCTGAATCGGCCCGGCGGCCCAAGACCAATTAGAATGTCGTGTTTCGAGCAGTTGAGTTGACCTAAGACATTGGCACATATTGACAGATTTGTTTCACATACCTCGGGGCATGGTCATGTTGAAGCCACGTATTTAACCTGCTTGGTGGTTTCAACTCCCCTGAAAAATATGAAAATCAGTTGGGATGACTATTCCATTCCCAACTGAATGGAAAGTCCTAAAATTCAATGGTTCCAAACCACCAAGCAGTAACATATTTGACCATGTGGACCCTACATCCAAATCCCTTAACATTCGACCGTGCTCCCGTGCTCCCGTGCCTAGCACCAACGTCACTTGCATCAAGATCTGGCGTCGGATCCGGGATGCCCATCGGGCAAAAAAAAGCCACGGATGGAAGATTTACGGCACATATTTAGTGCATGGAAAATGTGGTAAAGCCCATTCAAACCTCTGGTAAACGAACCAGAAGTTTTTGAAAATGGCCATAGAAATAGTTGTTTGGGTGATTCAACACTAAACCTTTTTTTTAAGGGTTTCGTTTGGGTGATATTTCACATCAGGAAGAAGGGATAATAAGCGGATATCCCCTCTGGTAAACTAACATAACTAATCCTTTCCCCCGAATACTAAACGTCCCCCCCTCCCCTATTAATAAACACCTCAGGTAGTTTTTAGTATTAGGGGTGTACTTATTATTAGGGAACCCCATAAATAAAATTCAACCCTTAATAATATTTTTCTTCCGATCTCAAAATCAATTAAATTTCCATATATAACGCAATTAAAATATTGCCAAAAATTGGATTTCGAAGCGGACCCTATTAATAAAATTAAACCCTTAATAATAAAACCTATTTTTTCCGATCTCAAAATCAATTAATTTTCCCTATATAGCGCCATTAAAATATTGCCAAACATTGGATTTCGAAGCGGGCCCCAATAAGAAATTAAAAGCCCTAATATAAAAAAACATAGACAATTTCGGACGGACGCTAATAATAAACACCCCGGGGTTAACTAGTTTTTAGTATTAGGGGGCAAAACCCATTGGCCAATCTGAAATTTTCCGAAATTAGAGATGGACCCTAGTTTTTAGTATTTTGGGGACGTTTAGTAATAGGGGGAAGGGATTATGGAAAATCACCATTTTATAGCTGGGAAAATCAACTATTTCGACTGGGCCATTTTCAATAGCTATGTAAGTTTACCAGAGGGTAGTGTATGGAAAATGTGGTAAAGCCCATTAAAACCTCTGGTAAACAAACAAAAAGCCATTGAAAATGGCAATAGAAATAGTTGATTTACCCAGCTATGATTTTCATAGTTATGTTTGTTTACCATAGGGTAAAACCTCCTCATTGAAAAACAGGGTGGCGAAAAGAAATGACACCAACTGAACATGATCTTCAACCAACCAAGACTGAGGCGTCGTTCTTCCCAACAAAACCGGTGTATGACAAGCAACAGTCTTGCTTCGTTCCAAACACAAATATACCCTCTGGTAATTTAACATAGCAATGGAAAATCACCATTTTTAATGGGAAAATCCACTATAAATGGCCATTTTCAATAGCTATGTTAGTTTACCAGAGGGTAGACAGAATCTTATCCCCGAGCATGATCAAGCCACCCATTTTTTGGGGGGACCCCAAAGTGACACAATCTTTGATCCTTTGCTTTCCACCGATTCTGGGATGCAAACTCAGATGTTCCACGGCATTTTTTTTCATCACCAAACCGCGTATTAAACATATATCCTGTAATTATATGTATGTATATTTATAGATACATAATGCACATTCCAAAATTTATGTATATATATATATATACATAGAGATTGTATATTATCCCTTAAAACCAATTTGTGAATTTCTCGCCTGGCTATTGTGACCCCCTCTCTGTGCCCATCCGTTGGAATATGATGCTATTACTACTTGCCACCCGCCCAAGCTTGGCTTGGATGAGTTTCTCATGTCAGATATCGGAGAAAATCGAAACATCGAAATCTTTGACTGGTTGTTGTCATGTTTAACACCAGGGTTTAAACAAACTAAATACCTAAGATAACTGATGGAAAACACTAACCAATGTCGTTTTCATGTTGTTTTCAGTCAAACAAAACCACTTTATCTACCCTCTGGTAAACTAACATAGCTATGGAAAATCAGCCTTTTAATAGCTAAATCATCTATAAATGGTCCATTTTCCATAGCTATGTTAAATTACCAGATGGTATGTTTAGCTGGTTTTTCTCCCGATTTTCTTGACCATTGACATCCGTCACGACCAGCCTGCGACAGCTTCTCGGAGAAAAATTCCAGCACCTCCACCTGTCAAAGCAGCACAATCAATGGGGGGTTCCATCAATGGGGGATCCCCTATCCCAATAGCTGGATGGTTTTCATGGAACATGCCCCAAGCAATGGATGATTGAGGGATATTGAGGGCTACCCCGCATGGATTGATATGGACTGGCAACCTCCATATTTTCTTTGCATTGGGAAATATTCAACATCATCCCGAAACGCTTTGGAATGTCATCCAAATCCTAGCATCCTCATTGTTTTTACGGTGTCACGTCAATCTGGCAGAGTGTCAACACATTTTCAGGACCAATCCATGTCAGTTCAGGCACCACTTTGAAGAACAAGTCATTGGCATTCACGTCAGGCCTCACAGCGGTGATGAAAAACACATGGATTGAACGCCATGTTTTTTGAACCCCTTGACCCAAAAAAAACATCATCCAAAGGCCCAAATTCAAGGATTTGCAAGATACAAGTTCATACAATTTGGACTGCCAAGATGAAAACCGAGAGAAGTGTAATAATTTAAAATACCAAGCGAAAGAAACTTTGCCGGCCTTGATTCAGTGGCAGCTCATACTGCTAGTCACTACCATCTGTAGCAGGTAAACATGTACTGTATAATGACTAATTATAGATATGATATACTCATGATTAGTAGATACAATTATATAGTCATAATAAACATGTTTTAGTAAAAAATATATAAAATTAGCCATGAAAAAATCAGCATGTTTAGTAGATAAACCATCAACGGGCCAGGAATTCTCCATAAAAAACGGCTTCGGATTCACTGGTAAATCATCCACCGTGGAACAAAATAGGGACCATGTTCTACCAGCATGTTGATAAATAACATCTGGTAAACATACCAGAAAAGCTATTGAAGCCATGGCCCAGTCATATGCATTCATATTCGTTGCAAAGTGAGGCCTCCCATTTCTGTTGCTAGTTACTGTATTTGCCCTATCATTCCAGTTATATATCTTAGATTAACCAGCTGGTTTTCTTATAACTCTTATATACATTATTTATATGATATTATACTATCATTCCCTATATATATACAGGTATATAGGAGATAAACAATACAAAGTTATATCACATTACATACCATATAGATTATATATATATAACTCCCAACATTCAATATGTATATATATATACACAAATGTATGACATACTGTGGATGGACAAAAACTTGCACTAGTTGATAGATAACTTCTCCCATTACTCTCCCATTGTTTACAACGAGTTCATCATCAGGTATCGGCCTAGAAACTTTGCTAATCTTGTGGATACCTGAATATTTATGCGATTCACACTAGATAAACCCAAATTTTACTTGTTTTCGGTACATCCTTTACTAGATGGTTCATCCCATGACAACCAGTATTACTCATGTCAACCCTGGATGAATATGAACTCCAAACGGCTATTTAATTGGGGAAGTACCTTAATTATATAAGTATCATATCATGATATTAATGATCACTACTACTATTTAGTATTACCGTCATATTATCACCTTAGGTATCCCCACTGATAAACACCTTTGGTCTATGATCACAATATCATCACTATATAATCATATTGTTATAACCTATTCAAAAACTATTATAATCACTACTGTATAGTATCACTACTGTATAGTATCATATATGATCACCATATTATCACCATATGATCACTACAATGTGGGGCCCCCTAGTTATATGTTGGTTTATAACCCCATCTAACTATACTATATTTATAAGTACCATAAATCCTAGTTATTGTAGTTGTAAACCAACTTACCGGTAGCTATCTTGGGGGCCCCACATTGTATATTGTTTGCTACCCCCATTACAAAAAGCCCGACGAATCGTCGTCCAAGCAACTCCTTGGCCACCATGAAACTCACCGCCGAAAGGACGAAGAGAAGACCGAGGCAAAAATAACTCGGCGAAACCGACAGCTGGGGATGGTGAGGAAATGGCGACAGCGGAAGGATTTTGTTTTAGGACTTTATTTTCAAATAAATGCTGGAGAAATACCCAATCATCCGCCATAAATGTGAAAAAAAACATGTTACATGTGGGGTATTGTATTAACACTTTTTATACAATGTCTGGTTGGTGGTGACTTACCCATCCTGGAAAATATGATTTCGTCAATGGGAAGGATTATCCCATATATTATGGAAAATAAAACATGTTTGAAACCACAAACCAGAATGGATCATGATGGAACAATTTCCTGAAGTAAAGTAAATAATAATCCATCATTTCCTGAAATGATTTTAAATGATTTTTTTAGTGAAAAAATAATAATGATGATGACCGGCAAATTATAAGAATTCAGTAACCTGAAATGATCTAAACTGAAGATACTGTAATATAATTATAAGGGAAATATCCCAATATCAAATAGGAGTCAGCTATCAAAAAAAAATAAAGGTCACCAAAAAGAAATTTAATTTCCCATCAAAAAAAATTAAACTCATCAAAAAAAAATATTCCCTCATATCCTGGCCTGCGCAAGCCAAACGCAAAATACAAGCATCATGAAATCTGTGCATTGCATCATCAAAAAAACTATGTTTAAATTATTTTTTGATGATTTAATTTTTTTTGGGGGGTCATTGGTAAAACAATTATTACTAGCAGAAAAAGTATATTAAAAAAGGAATATACTTGGGAGGGACGGTTGGGTGGGCTTGGTCGACGCCGACATGTACGAGTCATCGCGCAAGGAACACGTATTGGTTCGCAAGCTGTTCAATAACGAGGCACTGGGCCAAACAACATTGAATCCAATGGGCTACAAAAACCATTCTTTCCATCATGTTTTCCAGGCACGGGTGGGTGGGCCTGCTGTATACGGAAGCTTGCACAACAACGCACGGCTACGCGATGAAGTATGCTTGAAAAAGGCCAAAGAGCCAAAAGCCAAATGGCCAGAGGCCAATAGGTCAAGCCTGGCGCTAAAACCCAGAGGAAGTAGCAGGAGGACAGTAGACGAAGCTGAGCAGGTTGGCTGCGACAGGTTTGGTAATGCCAAGAAAGATGAGAACGTGCGGGAATCGAACTTCCATGCGTGTAAGTTACCTGGCACAGCGACCAAGCGTACCCAATTCCCAGGACCTAGCGTTCGAGCCACACAGCCCTACTTGCAAGGCAGCTGAGTCGTTGGGCCACCGGGCCACCAGTTCCAGGCCCCCACACAGCAATGGTCAGCTGCCATCCCCATTTTGACTTGCAAAGGTGTATGTCTACTATGTTGGAATGGACGCAATGTAGGTGGGCCTTATCATGACACATTCATTCGCAATGTGGGTGGGCCTTATCATCCACCTTTCTGGCGTTGTCACAAGCCGCGGGCAGGGCTTTAAAATAAAAAGGCGGGAGGGGGGCGCGGGAGGGGGGCGCGGGGGGAGCGCAGCGCCTCCCCCCGCAAAGCGTCACATGAGTGGTGTCCACAGGATTACTCTATACCTCCCTTGAGCCTTGACAGCGTATATAAATATGCTCAATACTCATGCAGTACCCACGTAGGATTCAAGTTAAAACAAAACAAAAACCAGGGCGCAGCGCCTCCCCCCAACAGAACAGTATAGGTGGGCCGTATCATCCACCTTTGTGGCGTTGTCACAGCACGGAAGCACAGCAAGCATGTTAGCTGGTTGCCTGGTTGGTTGGTTGTTTGCTTGCTTGGCTGGTTCGCTTCTTCGCTGTCTTGGTTGTAGTCGTTTGGTGTGTGTGTGTGTGCGTTCAACCGAACCAAACTAACAAAAGGTTGACAAAACAAGAGCCATACAGGCCTCCCTCCTGGACATGCATCGGGCACCAGTGCCATGTTCCTGAAAAAGACACCAATGCGCCTCCCCCCGCAAAGCGTCACATGAGTGGTGTCTACAGGATTACTCTATACCTCTCTTGAGCCTTGACAGCGTATATAAATATGCTCAATACTCATGCAGTACCCACGTAGGATTCAAGTTAAAACAAAAACAAGGGCGCAGCGCCTCCCCCCAACAGAACAGTATAGGTGGGCCGTATCATCCACCTTTGTGGCGTTGTCACAGCACAGAAACAAACCAAGCATGTTAGCTGGTTGCCTGGTTGGTTGGTTGTTTGGTTGCTTGGCTGGTTCGCTTCTTCGCTGTCTTGGTTGTAGTCGTTTGGTGTGTGTGTGTGTGCGTGCAACCGAACCAAAATAACAAAAGGTTGACAAAACAAGAGCCATACATGTGGCCTCCCCCTGGAAATGCATCGGGCACCAGTGCCATGTTCCTGAAAAAAGCACCAACGCGCCTCCCCCCGCAAAGCGTCACATGAGTGGTGTCTACAGGATTACTCTATACCTCTCTTGAGCCTTGACAGCGTATATAAATATGCTCAATACTCATGCAGTACCCGCGTAGGATTCAAGTTAAGACAAAAAAAAGGGCGCAGCGCCTCCCCCCAACAGAACAGTATAGGTGGGCCGTATCATCCACCTTTGTGGCGTTGTCACAGCACAGAAACAAACCAAGCATGTGGGCTGGGTGGCTAGTTGGCTGGTCAGTTGCTCGGTTGCTCGGTTGCTTGGTTGGTTCGCTTTGTATGTTTGGTGTTTTCAACTATAACCAAAGTAACTCAACAAGAGCCACATGTTTGGCCTCCCCCCCTGGAAATGCCTTGGGTCACATGATCATGACACATTCATTCGCAATGTAGGTGGGCCTTATCATCCACCTTGCTGGCGTTGTCACAAGCCGCGGGTGGGGCTTTCAAATATAAAAAGGCGGGAGGGGGGCGCGGGGGGAGCGCCTCCCCCCGCAAAGCGTCACATGGTCATGATACATTCATTTGCAATGTAGGTGGGCCTTATCATCCACCTTTCTGGCGTTGTCACAAGCCGCGGGGGGGGGGTTAAATAAAAAGGCGGGAGGGGGCAGCGCCTCCCCCCGCAAAGCGTCACATGGTCATGATACATTCATTTGCATGTAGGTGGGCCTTATCATACCTTTCTGGCGTTGTCACAGCGCGGGGGGGGGTTAAAAAAAAGGCGGGAGGGGGGCGCGGGGGGAGGGCGCGGCGCCCTCCCCCCGCAAAGCGTCACATGAGTGGTGTCCACAGGATTACTCTATACCTCTCGTGAGCCTTGACAGCGTATATAAATATGCTCAATACTCATGCAGTACCCACGTAGGATTCAAGTTAAAAAAAAACAGGGCGCGGCGCCTCCCCCTTGCAAAGCGTCACATGGTCATGATACATTCATTCGCAATATAGGAAAGATAGAATAAAAAGGAAAAGATAGGATAAGATAGGGTAAGATAGGAAAAGATAGGGTAAGATAGGGTAAGATAGAGTAAGATAGGGTAAGATACATAGAAAGACAAATAGATAGATAGAAAGAAAGATAGATAGATTGATTGATTGATTGATTGAGATATAGATATAGACATAGACGTAGGTGTAGATGTGGAGCCGAAGGAGCCATAAGAGCGAAAAGCCACAGGAGCCGAAGGAGCCATAGGAGCCGAAGAAGCCAGAGGAGCCGGAGGAGCCATGTACCAAAGAAGCTAAAAGACAAGCAGCCAGAAGCCAAAAAGCCAAGAAGCCACGAAGCCACCAGGAGCCACCAGGGACACAGGAGCCGAAGGAGCCACAGAAGCCAGGAGCCACACAGGGAACTATAGGAGCCACCAGGAACCAAGGAGAAAAAAAAAGAAACAAATTAAATTACCCTCCCTCATTTTTTTGGGGGTCCTTAATGTTTCCTTGCTAACTTCCAACAATCTCCCGATAACATGGGTTTCGTTTTTGGTCCTAAAATAGCCCGTCTACCACTGGTCAGGTACATCCTTTCATTCGAAAGCTAGCTTGTATTTGTAAAGAATGGCAATTTGTATGCTTCCTTCCCTGCTTTTCCTCCTTCATTTCCTCCTTCCTTTCTTTTCCTTCCCTCTTTCCTTCCCTCTTTCCTTCCCTCTTTCCTTCCCTCTTTCCTTTCCTCTTTCCTTTCCTCTTTCCTTTCCTCTTTCCTTTCCTCTTTCCTTTCCTCTTTCCTTTCCTCTTTCCTTTCTTTCCTTTCTTTTCTTTTCCTTTCTTTTCCTTTCTTATCCTTTCTTTTCCTTTCTTTTCCTTTCTTTTCCTTTCTTTTCCTTTCTTTTCCTTTCTTTCCCTGTCTTCCCCTCCTTCCCTCCTTCCCTCCTTCCCTCCTTCCTTCCCTCCTCCCTCCCTCCCTCCCTCCGTCCTTCCTTTCCTGCTTCCTTTCCTTCCTTCCTTTCCTTGCTTGCCTTCTTTCATTCCTTCCTTCCTTTCCTTGCTTCCCTTCTTTCCTTCCTTCCTTCCTTTCCTTGCTTCCCTTCTTTCATTCCTTCCTTCCTTTCTTGCTTCCTTTCTCTCCTTCCTTCCTTCCTTCATTCCTTCCTTCCTTTCCTGCTTCCCTTCTTTCATTCCTTCCTTCTTTCCTTCCTTCCTTTCTTGCTTCCTTTCTCTCCTTCCTTCCTTCCTTCCTTCCTTTCCTGCTTCCCTTCTTTCATTCCTTCCTTCCTTTCCTGCTTCCCTTATTTCCTTCCTTCCTTTCTTGCTTCCTTTCTCTCCTTCCTTCCTTCCTTCCTTCCTTCCTTCCTTTCCTGCTTCCCTTCTTTCCTTCCTTCCTTTCTTGTTTCCCTTCTCTCCTTCCTTCCTTCCTTCCTTTCCTGCTTCCCTTCTCTCCTTCCTTCCTTCCTTCCTTCCTTCCTTTCTTCCTTTTCTTTCCTTTATTTAAATTTCTTTTTTGATGATTTATTTTTTTTGATGAATTATTTTTTTTCTTGATGTTAATTATTTTTTTTTGATGGTCCTCCCATCAAATAGGGAATTATCCTTATTTGCAAAATATAAGAATTCACTTATCTGAAATCTTGGGATAATTCCGTTATGATAATTCACTAATTATGATATTGGGATAATTCCCCTGGCCATGATTCCAGAGTTCGGTCCCAGCGTGAGGTCACAATAATTTACCCAGAATGATGGGGAGGATTAGATGAATCTTTCAGAAAAAATCTGGGATTATGGTGTGGAATCATTATGACAAAATAGTAGGACTATGGTCTTAGTGTTGAAACTGTCAAGATTATGATGTTGATTTTGATTGCGACTTACAAGTTAATTTTGCGTAATTTTATGGCTTTGTAGAGATTTGGTGGGGATTTAGCAGAGACTTACGCAGCAATCACGGAGATTTAATGAGATTTACTCGCTTGTCAGGTCGCCACAGGGCACGTAAACGGGGACAGGGGACAGAAAAAAAAATCTATAGCCAAAACCAGCAATCTGCAGCTATCACAGGGACATGTCCTGCAGCTATCAGAGTATTGGGAACAATATGCAAAACTGAATTCACCATTGATCAGCAATCCTGATCTAGAGGACATTGCAGTTCGTGGGATCCCAAATCCAACTCTTGTCCACTTGCAATCTAAAATAGCTGTGGAAAAGCACCAATGTTAATCATGGAACTAAATGGACACGTTTTCCATAGCAAACTATAACAAACTACCAGAGAGTAGCTATAACTTGTGGTGGTGGGATGTCACTTGGTCGGTTTATTGTGCTCCTAAAGGGCGGTTTTGCCTACATGATTCGGTTACACTTTTCTAATTACTTGGAGGTTTTTCATTATGACCTCTTTTTTGGGACAGTGTTTGAACCCCCGTCAAATGGCAAAGAAAAACAGAAATAAATGTAATGTGACAGTTCAAAATTGTCTTAATCAGGTCCATTTAAAGGTGATAATGATAAACATAGACCCCAATACTGGCTATAAATGGGGTATGGTTTGTTATTGGGCTTACAACGGACGTTAACCGTGGTAATCCATCTGTTGTATGGTCATCCATCTTTTATCCGGGAATCCTCGTAAAACGCCCAGGGAAATCGGGATGTCACATATTGGGGTATGTGATCCTTGATGTCATCAAAAACCATGGGATCCATAGGAAAACCATAGGAAAACCATAGGAAAATGGAGGTTTACCCTCTGGTTATGTCAAAATAGCTATTGAACATGGCCATTTAGTTCGTTGATTTTCCCATTAAACATGGTGATTTTTCATAGTTATGTTATTTTACCAGAGGGTAATCATCCTGAAATAGATAGAGAATGAAATGGTCCAACATGTTCCCATGAGTCGTGAGTATTCTTTGCGTTTCCCATATTCTATCTACTCCAGGATGACAATGTGTCTACATATCAAAATCATTCAAAATCGATATCCACCAGCATCATATGTGATTGCATACATGACAATTATATATATATATATGTCATTATTATGCTTATATATATATTATACATAAATCATAATATCACATAAGATTAATATTGTAATGATATATGATATATACATTGTTAGACTATATGCTACCCATCGTTGACCCAGTCCTTCGGCCATGGCCCATATTATGGGGCCGGAGATGCTTCGGGCTGAGGCCCCCGGCCAGCTTAGATGTCGCGACAAACATCGCTGGAAGCAGCGACAGCATAAGCCGCGGTTGATGAAGAAGAAGGGAAGCATCTGAGCATGAAAACGTCCAAAACATGAAGGGAAAACATGAAGGGAAAACATGAAGGGAAAACATGAAGGGAAAACATGGTGAAATAGTCCAAAATAGTCCAACACATTGTGGTCATGGACCAAATATGATGAACTAGTCACCTGACTATGGGGCACCACCCTGCTATTTTTGAGGGACCCCATTTTCAGGCACAGCATCATCGTTTCATGTGGTCATATACACCCAATGAAATCTCATGATCACTCCCAGAACTCACATATTTTTGCCCAGTGATAAGATAATTTTTAAAACAGACAGAAAATTCATGAATAACATAAACCCTCATTATCTAGCCATAATCTACTATAATCCTTTTCTTGTATCACTTATTTGTTGTATGATTTAGTGATTGCTGTTTTCATATTCATCCCATAAATTCCATATTTCTGTAACCACGACCTAGACCAAATCTCCCAAAAAAATGCCACAAGAATGAAAATCATGGGGTAAAACAATTCAGAATCAACTCAGTTGTTGTAATGTTTTTTTAACATCAAATGGTGATGTATATACAGTGTGTATATATATATACTAATATACTAATATATATATATACACACTACATTTATATATATATACAGTAGATAGTATATAATGTCAAGTCAGGATTAATCAACATCCCGTTATTAATCAACCTCCTCCTCCCAAAAAAAATGCAATTTAAACACAGGTGGTCCCCCCAGATTAATAAACACTTTGGCCTACCCCCGATTAATCAACCCCCTGTGCTGAAATCCATTTTTTATCCAACATTTTTTATTTCCAATTCTATTTATTTCCAATTGTTTTTTACCTTTTGTTTAATCATCATTGTTATACTTCAGGTTTAAGTTGATCATTGAAAATTTCAAAAAACAACTATTCCCCAAATGATCGATTTCTAATTAAAACCTTTATAAAAATCATCAGTTTGGATAGCTCCCAAGGGGTACCCTCCATGAGCCCATGTCCCCCATTAATAATAACCAGGGATTGCCCCTGATTAATCAACCACCTTTCTGATCCATGAAATTTTAACAAATCCAATGGAATTCTATTAAAATCTAATTGACGGAAGCCATATCCAAAGTTTTGTGGTTCAGAGTTGCTTATTTAGGGGTGGTCAAGAAAACCAGTCAGAAGGTACCTCCCCTACCTTCTGGGGGGGGGGGTTATTAATCCGGTGTTGGCATTATACATTATCAACACCGTGTCTTTCTGGGTACAAACCAAGGGTCCAACGCTAGGTCTACGATGAAAAACACTGCGGTCCAAGAGGCCCAGATCATCAGAGCCAGGCCCAAGACCGCGAAGATCTGCCGGAGATCGGGTGCGAAGATCTGCTAAGGTGGTGCTACTCCCAGGTATAGGTGGTTTACGTAGCCATATTGGATAGTATAATAGTGGTTGATGATGGTTAATAACGGTTAAGAATGGTCAATAATGGTTGATAATCTTCTAAACCTATCTAACATCATCTAACATAATCTAACTATAGATATACTCCAACTATATAGATAATTATATCAAAGTGATCCCAACTCTTTCACTTTTTCATATTGAAAACGATGATAACTCAAGTAAACACTCTAATGGTTCGGATTGCAGTTGGTATATTGATGCAATGGGCAGGTCAGTAGAACTCGGGATATTCATCAGCAGAATGGTTGGCACCCAATTCCGTGGGATGGCAGGAAATAGTCACTATAAAATATGATAAAACATACCCTACAGTAGTCAAACGCGGCAATTGAAATATATGGATTTTTTCCACCCAAGAATGGTGCTTTAAATAGGAAAAATCCCTTTAAAAGGAAGCACCATGACCGTGGAATCTCTTCAGAGGTCCCCAGGTCTGCGTTCTTCCCACCTCCATCTCCTGCACCAGTCGAGCTTGCTTCTCTTTGGGCAAACTGCACCAGGACGGGCTTCCCAGGGCCCAGGGCTTAAGGCTTAAGCATGTGGATTGCTGCCACATATTGTAGAAATCAATCCGCAGAAGCCGTAAAACAAATAAACAGCACATATTGAAACACATCACTTGGTGAGATTTTACTGTTCTATCTTTCGGATTGTTTCTTTGGGGTCGATAGCCCAAATCTCCGGATGATTTCTTGGGGGTCAGGACTGGCTTTCCCAGTGCCCACAGCTTCCAACTAACGCAACATGAATCTGAAAACCAAAGGAAAAACCGAAAACGCCAACGAGTTTTTCGAAAGACCCATATATGGGTCCATCGAAAAACTAGGTATACCGGCATACTCCAAAACAGCCATTCAAACACATTGAAACGGGAAAACACTATCTTTAATGAGCTGTCTTCAACACCAAGATAGCAAGGATTTATAATTTTTCATACAGTGCAAAATTATAGTATACAGTAAATTACGGTTTTGATCCATGCCCACGTGCTCACCAAAACTGGTATGTAACTTAACAACTCCTCATCTGCTTTGCTGTGAAAAAAACCTCAAAACAAAGCCACATGGGGGTCCATTGGAATCAGCATGGATCAGCACGACCCAAGCACAAAAGGTGGTGTGTTTGACATGGGAAACCCTAATAATTACTAATACTATCGGCGCAGCTGCTGCCGAGTAATGCCCCAGTCTCTTGATTCCCAAGTTGAGTGTATTCATCAAAGATTTCTGACTTTGCTTGATAGAAAAACACACATTCTATATTCTGTCAAGTGGATTTGAACCTCATTTTCCTCACTCAAATTGACCCCATAGGGCTCCATTTTCAGACACTGTCTGTTTGGGATCTCCCAACACGTCTCAAGGAAGTATACTAAGGGACTTGGATGTGCATCCTAGGAATCCTAAGTGCTTAAAGAAAACAGTTAACTTAATTAGGGATATTCTATTTATATATATATATACCCGCAGGACGCTTGGTTCGCCGTCGGTGTATATGCATGTTTTTTGTGTTTGGGGGGTGTGGGGGGGTGGGGTGGAGGGGGGGGGTGGGGTGGAAGAGTGGGGGGTGTTTTTGGGGGGGTTTGGGTGGGGGGGGTGTGATAACGTCTTGTCGCGCGCTTTTTTTTGGCTGCAAATATGACATTATCGTTATGTTTCCAGGGTGGAAATGCTACGTTATCGCTATGTTTCCAGGGTGGAAATGCTACGTTATCGTTATGTTTTCAGGGTGGAAATGCTACGTTATCGTTATGTTTTCAGGGTGGAAATGCTACGTTATCGCTATGTTTTCAGGGTGGAAATGCTACGTTATCGTTATGTTTTCAGGGTGGAAATGTTACGTTATCGGTATGTTTTCAGGGTGGAAATGCTACGTTATCGTTATGTTTTCAGGGTGGAAATGCTACGTTATCGCTATGTTTCCAGGGTGGAAATGCTACGTTATCGTTATGTTTTCAGCTGGGTGGAAATGCTACGTTATCGGTATGTTTTCAGGGTGGAAATGCTACGTTATCGGTACCCAATAGGTCAGGCAAGGTTATTTGGAGCAAAATAGGTAAAAGTGATTTTGGAGGCAATTTTCTACCTAATAGGTAATTTTTAAGGAAAACAAAATAGTTAATTTTTTTAACTACATAGTTAATTTTTAAAGGTTCCTATCAAGGTAATTTTTGAGGATTAAAAAAAAAATACCTTGAAATTTTGCCTTTTTTTCATGGAAAAAAGATAATGAATTTTGACATTTTCTTAACATTGTACCATAGTAGAGTGAATATTATCAATTGTTTGAAAAGTTTTTTAACAATATGTTTCTTGATTTTGTGTGAAGTCAGTTCTACATGATTACTGGAAGTGCAAAAAAACTATATTGTTTGAACTTATACTTGTTTGAGCAAATCAAAGTTTTTATTTGTGAAGATCAAATCTGATTGGATGTTTTGAAGATATGTTATACAACATCAAAGCTACAATGAAGTAACCCGAAGCATACATTCTGTCTTTGAAAGCTCGGTGAGGACATCCATCAAAGTATAATTCAGTTTTTGGTCTTTCTGGTCAAAAAAAGATTTTGACAGCCGGTCTTTGACAATCTCTGCCCAGTCGCTCCTGGGAGCACTTGCCCTGCTCAGTTTCATAGGAGCATCACAAATCGCTTTTGGCAATGCTGAGGATGAAGTAACCACAGCTGGTGTAGAGGAAGCACTGCTACCACTACCACAACTACCACTACCACTACCACTACCACCACAACTAGCTCCAGTGCCAAGCTGGCTCCAGGGCCTGCTCGACATGAATTGACTCATCTGCGAATAACTCATCCTTGGTGATGTTGGCTTGGCCACCATGCAAGACCATGGAACTGCCCTGCTTCTTCTCAATGGCTGTGGCTATTGTCCTGACATGATAGTAACCATCTTTCTGATAGACATCACCTCGTCTTTCTGCTCATTCAAAGCTTGCTGGTTTCACTGGAATTTTTCCACGACATGATGGAGTGAGGCAACCCAGTAACCTGAGATTTGTTGGTGCAAATCTCAAAGTTCTTCTTGAAAACCTCGCACTGGGTATTTCCAGGAGCAAAAGCAAACTCGCCACTGGTGTTCTGCTGAAAGACTTCGTTGATGAATTGACTCTTAAATAACCTTGGGGGAGAGAATTCTTGGAGCCCTCTTCATAGAGCTGCTGAAGATCTTCTGGCACCTGGCCACTTTTGATCATTCTGGTGCATTTCCTTACCTTGGGGTAGCTTCGATGCTCATCATCAGCAACTGTTGCATCCTCCTCTTTAGGCTCCTCATCTTCTCCTTCTGCATGGTCATCAGGAACTGGCTCATCCCTGGTCTTCTTCCATCCTGCTGCCATCTTCTTGCCAGTCTTCGCTTTGGCCTTGGCTTTCGCCTTCAGCTGCATCAGGTCTTTTCAGGATTTTCTTCATTGTGCTCTTGGCTTTTGCCTTTTGAGCTTTCATTGGCGAAGAAGTAACCCCAGGAGCTTTGCTGGCAGCAGCCTTGGCTTTACCTGCTGCCTTTGCCTTGGCTTTAGATTTTGCTTTCACCTTGGCTTTGGCCTTTGCCTTGGGTGCTGCAGTATCTAAGAATCTAAGTCAGCTCATGGGGCAGCTTCTTCTGGAGAAGCCTGTTCTACAGATCCTGGTGCTGGTTCAGGTGGAGGCAAAAGCAAGCATAGCATCAGGTGGACAGGCCTCTTCATGAGGTTACCAACAGGGGCGACAAGTGACAAGTAACTTCAATCTTGAGCACCAGTGTGCTACATGGATGGTACATGCACTTGTACACTTGACATATTTTCCAACCTTTCACCAAAAAGTAGCCCACATACCAAAGACCTTGTGCATGTATCAACCAACCATGGTGCTATTTATCATTCACAAAAGGTGTTGCATGAGATTTTCTTATTTTTGGATGGTAATATGTTTTTGTGAAATGAATATTTGTCCTATGCATGCAATAATGGAAAACAATACTTAAAGATATGCTGCGACTTTAAGAAATGGTTCGTGTTCAAAAACATTAACAAGATAAACAAATATATAAATAGAAAAATAAAACATATATATATATATAAAGAATGAATAGCAAAAACAATAACTGAACAAATAAATAGTATAAATATATATGTACACAGTATGTATATATATATATATGTATCCAATCAATAATCAGTGGTGGTATATGTGGCAAAAAAAACATATTACAGTTTCAGTATTGTACATGTGGCTTTTTGTTTTATTTATGTATGTTCACCTAATGTAATTGCTCTTGTCCTAGTTTTTTTTTGAAACTTTAAGGCATCATGTACCCAAATACTAATGTAGAGATATATGTGTATTCATTTGGTGTGGTGTTATTGGTTGGCTTGGGGTTCGGTTACAGTTTTGCAAACCAAACCCATTGCATGCCAACCAACCCTATAAGGTACTTTGTAAAATCAAAGGTGCTTAAAACCCCCCTTAAGGAACTTTTTTTATTTTTAGCAAAATAAAACAAAAAATAAAAATGGGAATGCCCCAAAAATGTGTAATGAAAATATTTGATTATAGTTTCTGTATTGTACATGTGTTTTTTCTTTTCTTATTTATGTATGTTCACCTAATGTAATTGCTCTTGCCCTATGTTTTTTTGATGACACTTTAAGGCATAATGTGACATAATGTACCCAAATACTAATGTGGAGGTATATGTGTATTCATTTGGTGTGGGGTCATTATTTGGCTTGGGGCCTGGGGTTACTGTTTGCAAACTAAACCCATTGCATGCCAACCAACCCTAGTAGGTACTTTGTAAAATAAAAAGGTGCTTTAAGCCCTCCCAATGTACCTTTTCATTTTTGGGAAAAATAAAACAAATAAACATATAGATGCCTCAAAATGCCTAAG